TAAATTACATGTGAGATTAATGAAAATTTTGAAATTGATTGCCGACTGGGAGGATTCACATTTGACATACTGAGTTGATATTTAAAGAATATGTTGATGGCAAACTTCAACAAAAAGTTATAAAAGCCTAGGTCGTTTTAAAGAGGTTTTAATATAAATATAAGAAAAAAACACAAACAAGTTATTTACATGTTGATTCCAACTTTAATGTTTCGTATATAAAAAAGTCGATCTCAAAAGTAGCAGATATTTCCATTTTTATCTGCAAAAATGTTCCCAAGTTCTGAAAACTAAGGATATTTGTTTAATAAATTGATAAATAAATGATCAAATCCATCATGATGTCATGCCATTTTTCTTTCCGTGTGATTGATCACACTAGAGCCGAGATGTACGGCGGAGATTTCCCATTTTAATGGCAAACCGCAACCGAAAGTTGGTAGAACCCCCTCCAGCGCCGCCACTTCGATAGTTCCAAATGGGTCAGCCACGTTAGTGAGTTGTGGTCTAAGTCGCTGCCAGTGTGTGCGTTTGTGTGCTTAACACAGTTTTTGTTTGTGATTTTGCCATTGCCTTTGGCAATTCAGATTGGAACCAGATCTGGCAGTCCGCGATGGGAGTCGTCAGATATTCTAATTGACTAATTTCCTGAGATCTCTGAGATTCCCAAAAGGTTCCCAAGTCTAGCGGCTTGATTAATGTGGTTCACCCAGATACATTCGTCTACGGGTGGTCCGTTCCCTTTAATTATTCACTTCATTAGGGATTTGTTTCGCCCGGCCCAAAACATTTAAGGGGCCATTAACATTTCATTTGAAAATATTTAGCTACAGCGCAATTTTACGCACAGTTACGCGCTTTTTTCACACTTTTCGGCTTTTCCTAAACAATTTTGCTCAAGCAGAAAGCTGTAAAGTTAAGTGTGCATTTCAAAACTATTTTTTTTTGCATACCCAAACCCTCGTTGGGTATTTAAAAGCAAATAAATTACGGGAAAATGGAAACACGCGAGGTCATTTAGCCGCCACATTAACAGAGCACACACACTTCAATGAAACTGCAATTGTTTAAACAAAAAAATAATAAAACACCCAACTTTGTTGGCTCGTCGTGCACGCAAAACCCATTTAATTTATTCAGTTGCACGGCCCATTTTGTTGGTTTTCGGTCTTACTTTGTGTTTGTTTAGTTATTTCGGAGCTATTTGCTCTGTGAAATGTGTGTCAAATGAATTCAAATTGACACTTGGAGCTATCCGTTACAATCCAATGCACACGATTGATTGAACAGTGAATCATCATTGCATAATTTATATTCTAGTCAAGATATCTTCGGTTCCATGGAAAGAATAGCAAGTTGAGGAAATACACAGCAGCTGCAGGAAATGTTGTCTATAATCATTTTATTCTTTTGTGTATAAACACTTTGATTTAAAATAATATGAATATTCATCATTTATGATTTTGGATATTCCAAAGTTGGAAAACATTTCCAAAAAAAGCCAAAAGAAAGTCATCAGAACTTCCGCTTTAAACAACAAATAAATAATGCTGCCTTTTAAGTTATAAATCCATAAATTTTACCAGAAAATTTCTTTATAACAAAGAGCTGCTGTTTATTTCTATACCAACCAAAAAAAAATATATATATCATTTCATTATGGCCACCAAATATCTATAATTAGTGCCCCAATTCGTTGCAATTTCCCTTATCACCGATGAACGTAATTGAAGGTCAGTTGGAGTTTGCCATTTCCATTGGGCATTGGGCATTTGGCATTATGCTTTATTTTCTTTTGCTCATTTTTGGCTCGAACTGGGTAACGAGAGCAGATGCCAATCAAAGTCATTATTCATAATGTTCGTTGGCGTGTTTCGCCGCATTTTTCCAACTAATTTTTTTTGCCTGCATGAGCTGCGTTTTCAATTTCGAACTTTTTACCTGTCTGCCTCGGTTAGATTCGCTTGCGTCATTTTGCTAATTTTAGCTAATTTATTGCAATGCCAGTGGAAGTACGCTGGTGGGATGTTGTTATGCCCGGCGTCAGTTGGCAATTTGCATTCGACTCTGAGCCACGTTCGTCTACGGATTGTGATCGCTTGCGATCGCATTGTTCAGGAAGTGTGAGCCTACGAGCTTTGACAAATTGATGTGTGCTTACCGCATAATGCCCACAATTTATCAATTTCAAGCGATAACTATTGACCCAATTCCGAGCTTCTCCCCGTTTTGCTGGCGAACCAATTTCAATAACAACCAGACTCGCAACGAGATTACACCTCTTGGATAATAACCGGCCGTATCTTACGGTCTGTATCTTGATCCGGGGTGAGTGGATGTGGATGTGGATGTGGATGAATTGGAGTGCTGGTCTTGTGACATCATCACCATGTGTTTGGTTTGTGTGTCGTGAATGAAATGTGTTGGCAGCGGCAGTGGTAACAACAAATCATTATCGCCTCTCGGCCATCAGCGTAAGCCGCATTTTGCTGTCTTGTGACGCCCAAGACAATGATCATCATGCACGGGGAAAAATATGATCTCATTTCGGCTACCATTTCGGGGAGATTTCATAAATATAGGTTCTAGCATATCACCACATGTTCAACACGCAGAGAATGACCAAAAATGGTTATTAAGTTGGTAGTATATTCATCATTCGTTTATTTTAACAATTATAGGAAATTTGTTATTAAATTGGTAGTTTCAAAAAAATCAGTTCCTCCTTTCCTAATACAAAATTTAACTTAATTTAACTCAATCATATAAATATTAAAGTTATGAATAAATTACTCTAAGACGTAAGCTGTAATTTAAAATAAATGTATACAATACCTATTTATTTTAAAATTACCATTTCACTTGTAATTGCGGAAGCTTATTTATCATGAATGAGAGTAAAATGGTATTTAAAAATAAACTGTCAAGTAAAAGTTTAACTGCTATTTAAAAGATCTCAGGATTTAAGAGGCAATAAAAAACCCTGAAAATACATAAATACATTTTTATTTTACTATATTTTTCTTATTGATTATTTCCTGCTGTGGGGTTTCACTATCAACTGACGAGCAATTAAATTTTATAAATAGCTATACAGCTGTAAATTGATAGGGATCGCTAGTTATTATTGTCAGTGCAGTGGTCACTTGGAAATTATCTTCCTGGCATGACTCGCCCGTGAAGTTCTCACCGCTCGGCAGGAAGTTGAAAAGCGTTTGTCACGGGCCATTGATATGCGCTTAATATCTCGTAATGTTGCAGCTTCTGTTGCCGCCTCAAAAAGGAGCGGAAATCAGAGTCATGATGCCATGAGTTGCAGTTGACGGATGTTTGTTTGCTCTGCGCTCGATTGCTGGCATATTGGAGATATTTTTTTAGCCCGAACCTCCTACCGTTGCAAAGTTACCACTTTATGTCGATGTTAACCCATTTGCAATAAGCCCGCACGCGAACCAAAATTCGGCTCTGTTGACTTGACCCATTTGGCAAACAGAAAGTTTGCCCTGGAGCCACGAAATTCATTACAGAATCGTTGTCTTCGAGTGATTTAGCATAATCCTATACGTGTTTCGTTGTGGGTGTGGAACCGGTTTGCTTTAGGTTTTCAGTGCTCAGTTATATATATTTTAAGTTTTGACTATTTGCCAAGGTTTGCGATCCGCATTAATATCCGTCTTTCGACTTTTTCCCTCACTCTTTTGCAGTTCGCACCATGAAGACCGGCACTCCAATGGACATTTTCTACACGGCGCTGCACTTAATCGTAAGTATGAACTGGGTTCTCGGGGGCCCATCGAAATGGAAAATTGCCGGACTCGGGCAGAACACATCAATCAAAGAGCCCGGCCGAATGAATGACAATTGCATGCCAATGCGATTAACCTGGATATGAGACTGGAGGCCAGTTGCGACTCCCTCCTCCGTATGCTAAACGCGATTCCATTCCATTCCAGCCAAGTGGCCAAGTGGCCGAAAAAGTGGCACACCGTGGCCCCAACTTCTAAGCGGCTTGGCCTCCAACTCAAGTTGAGATCCAGCAGATTTCAGGTTCGGATTCGGATTGGGGTTCGGGTTTGGGTTCAACTCTAACCCAGGCCGCAAGCTGCTGGCGAAAGTTTTTTTTGCCAGGCTCCAGTGGAGCCTTAGAATCGTGAGAATATAATGTTTGCCCCTATCTCCCGGCAACACGAAAACGAAATTTCCACTTTAATTAAAGAAGCTTACTGGCGATGGATTAAGCCAGGGACTTAATGTCGGCTTGCCGTGATTTATGTCAACGCTTTGTGGGCAGAAAGGGGTCGGGGATCGAGGAGCTATAGTATATATATCCCATATAGTATGCCAGCTATGCTAATGAGTGACTTGTCTCCACTTTCTTTTCAGACAATCGCAGCTCTGACGACGCACGCGGCGCAGATTCCAACGGCAGTCAGTGAGTACATAAATCTGTCTATTAAGAAGCTAAACCAAATTCTATGGATTGGGGGTACCAAAGAAAAATTGCTAACAAATTGGTAGCAAAGACACTGAGAAGATCGAACTCAGTTGGGGGGCTTTTGTTTGCCTCCGAACACTCAAATAACATTCAAATGAGGCATCAACATCTAACCCATAAACTCGTTATCGCTCAAAGTAGGACAAATAAATATGTTAATACAAGATTCAAAATATTTATTATTGAAAATTGGTGGTTCATTTTAGATTGGTAAACAAATTGAAACAAAGCATCGACAAATAATCTAACTATAAAGCTTTAAATGGTTAAAAGTATACGTATTGATAGATAACCATAGATATATTTTTGATGGCTTAACATTTGATTGGTTGCCCATTAAATTTTAAGCTATACAATAATTTAAAGTTCGTAACGGCTATTACAAGTGTATTTACAAAAAAGTTTAAAAAATCAAAGCGTAAACTTAATTAAAGGAAAGGATAGCAGTTATATTTCGTTCACAGTAGTTGGTTGTAATAAATTTAAAATATAACAAACTCCATCATGTCGTAAAAAACCGATTACAAATTTATTTAAAAATAAAGGATACACATTCCTTAGACAGTTTCAAAGCAAACAAAAATAGCTTTACAATAATGAATTGGTTTCCCTGCAAACCATTACCTAATTAGTTATAAAGACACTCCACTTTAATCCGCCAGCGCCGCTTGCCATTGTTAAGTAAACTTGGCTAAGTTGACTGTTGTCTTTGTGGTTGCAAAATCTCTGTTGACTTTGTTGGCCAAAAGTCGAAAGCAGGCATTTTAATCGCATGGCAAACAAAAGTCCATTGGAGTCGCTTGGCTCTTTGGAGCTGCCTCATTTGCGAGGCGACTGGCCAAACATTGCGGCACACTTCCTTCTGGCTTTCTCATTGCGTTTTTGGGTTTTGTTTTTTGGGCTTGGAGTGGGATTTGGCTAAGACCCCGTTGACCCAGGAGCCATGATCGGGCAGCGAGTCGTGGAGCGACTCCAAATGGTTGAGGAACTGCTGGTAGGTGAAGAACTGCCCCTGGTTTCCACCTGGATGGCGATGGTACGAGCACCGCTTGTCGAATATCCACTTCCTCTGCTCCGGCGGATCGATGTTGTTGACCAAACCGCAGAAGCGTTGCGTCAGGTCGCCGAGTTCAGTGGAGGTGTATCTACGGATAAGATCTTTAGTTATCAGGATTTAAACCCCAGCTTTGGCTTACACAAAGACCCGGGTGACTGTCTCCTTGATTTTGGGACACTGGCAAATGCTGTTCAACACTCGAGTCTTCTGTTCTCCCTGCAGAAACCTCAGGAAAAGCGGAGGAATCAGGCAGAAACGGACACAGTTCATTAGCTTCGCCATCAGATCCTTCCTAACCGACCAATTATGACTGAGCCAGCGAACTGCAGTCATAAATATCTATGGATTGTAGTGATACTATACTATATTATATATCATATATATCCAGTAAATACCACCTCTATCTCACTGTTCACGCCCACATTGTTCATATTCAGGAGTTTCTGAAGCCAATAAAAGTCCAGTTCCAAGAACTCCTTGGAGGCCACCAAAGGCAGGAAGAACTCCTGAATACGAGACAACGTGAGAGTCTGAATCATGGGAATCTCAAACTTCTGAGCCTCTAGAAACAGTCTAAATGCTAAACTGCCGAAATTGCAACCATCGTTGAAGCAAATATAGCTGAATTCCTGCAACTCATTGACTTTCAGGAACGAGACCGCACTATATAGTTCCACAATGTTGCAGCCCTTTGGTCTTTCTTTCTTTTTTCGTTCTCCTTTGATGCCCAACATCCAGTTGTAGAGGACTTTAAAGGCCGTTGGGGTCACCATTTTGATCGGCAAATGGACAGAGAGGGTGTCCACCCTTTTGTACCTCAGAAAATACGAGTGCGACTGAAGAACATGAAGATGACAGCGGAATTTGTATTTGCCGATATAAACTTTGAAAGAGCAGGATGATGGGTCACCCAGAAGTCGAAGGAGCTCTTTATCCATGGCGATTTTAGTAGGTTGCCAGCAGCTGAAATCTTCATTGCTAGGACTTTGCTTGGGCAGAACACTAAACGAGTTGTTTAGGTGTTCCAGCTTCAATATTTTTTCGGATGACAAGGGACTGTAAAAAGATATGTCACATAAAAAACAGATGATTAAAAATAGAGCACAAGCTAATCAATTTAAACGAATTAGTAGTTCTTTAAAATACATAGTTTGGTTTGAGATAGCTCTTAATTTAAAACAAAGGTTATTAATTAAAAGTAATTTTAGAAGTATACTGATTGGTTTTTATAGATGTTTAAGTATATTTATATTTTTATATTTACCCACTTGAAAAATGAATAATAATATGGAAGTTCTCGTTAGTTTTTCTAGTTTTGTATTTATATTTATATATATATATATTTACCTACCTTAAAGTCTCCGAATTAAAACTGTCTTCGGTAATATTGACGTTCTCATTAATAGTAAGCTGTGATTGGTCAGATATATTTTTAAATATGTACCTCTTGCAAATTAAGAACCCTCCACTTACATCTTGATCGGACAGCGAGGACTGAACTTCAAGCTCAAGATCCGACTCTATTAGTTCTGATTCCACTTTAATTTTCTTCATATATGTACCATTTATTGCCGCAGCCAGATCCGCAGCTAGAGAATCGATCATGGCCTGGTCCACCTCACCATCTTGGCCTTCCTGTTTTGCCTGATTTTCTAGCCAAATCTCATCCATCTTTGCACTTAAAATTTAGCTGTGTCCATAAACTTGGTGAAAGCGATCGATAATTTGCCTCGAATTAGATCCAAATCACGAAATATCACATAAATCGGAGCGTAATAAACTGAAACTGACAAGCTGATTTGATTTGCCAGGCAACACGACACAGGGATTGAGATATATATACTGTAGGGTTTTGCATTTTCTTTGTTCGCCGAGTGGCAAGGGAACTGCTTGGAGAAGAGTAATTTATGCGAACCATTGTTGCTTTAGTCTAGTTTGTTCTATTTGAGGAGTGCAGTTCGGCTTGCCTGCGGAGACCATAAAATTATACATAATAGAAAGCCATTAAATGTTTTATGTGCCAGTCGAGCCGACGGCTGAATGTGGATTCCATTCCGGTAAGAAGAAAACCGGCTCTGCGATGGCCGTGTTGCATGCAATTACTTTGCCCAGAACCGCAGTAAGTGATGCGAAATGCTGCAAGGTTCGTTGAACCACCTCGACCGAAGGCATCCCATCCCATCCCATCCAATCCCATTCCATTGCATCCGAACCATATATATATCCCAGCCATGCCGCACTGTATACACACCGCCAACTGCCAGGGCGAACGTGCCTGGGCAGCTTTTCTCCGGTTCTCTTGGTCTCTTCTTGGCCAATTGTGTACCTTTGCAGAGGAACCAAGAAACGGAGGAGCCAGCGGGGAGTTCTTGGCATTGCGATCCCCGCCTGGCTGAAAGCAGGAAATGCCAAGAGCACAGCCAAATCCCAGGTTGTGTTTCGAACTATTCGCCGAAGTTCAAGGAACTTGCAGCGTGGCGTCTTTCTAATGGCCACGAGCGCTTCTGTGGCGTGTCTTCGCCCCATGTTGCCGCTGCTGCTTCTGCTGATTTTCGATGTTGCCGCTTCAATGGCTTCTCAATGTCATGAGCAAACACTCAAACAAAATTTCAATTTGATTGCACAATATTTAACTTAAATTAATTGGCAACTATATATGGATTGTCATATATCAAATATATCTATCTTATTCTGTGACTCTTAAAAGATAAATGGTATTTAAACAACGTGCGCATTCGATCAAAAAACTTAAATTACCAAATTATTAATATTTAGTGGGAATAAGTGTGGTTAATTTCTGGTCCATATCAGGATTAAAATTGGCTAAAATATGCAGGATAGAAAGTTACTAAAATGAAAATACTTACTTATACGATTAAATATAGCTTTTTGAATATATCTAGGAATTATTATGCAAATTATTAAACTTACTCCACAAAAAGATTACTTCTTAAATCTTCTTTATAATCATACTAGCTTTATATATTGTAAAACTCTAAATATATTTTTAAATGTTAATATGAAAATGTTTAAACTATAAAACTAATAATTATATATTTTCTACACTATCTTGGTTAAGTTAATTATATTTTTGGTATGCCAATGCTTATCTAAAAGCTTTGAATTCTTTTCCCAGTGCATTATTGTTATTTGTTATAGTCTTCCGCATGCCGGCTTCGACTTGGAGCTATAGTCTTAACTAAATACTGCTCCCATGGGCCATTGTCTTGGGTTTTCCGCTCATGATTTATGCTAACGGCTCTTGAGGTTGCCTGCCGATGTGGATGCGGCATCCTCCTGGTCGTCTAACTGTGCTTTTTTGGGAGTGGGCCTGTCGTGTTTCTGTTTGCATTTCATAATTTCCGATTTCCCCTTTGCAGAGGATGCGCAGAGCTCGCTGAGTGAGGCGATTGCGGCGGCGGAGGCGGAGGTGGCCTCCACCACGAAGCCGGCGGTGGAGCCCAGTGTGCGGATCAAGTGCCTGTCCGGATCGATGCTGATCACCATCAAAGATGCTCCTCCCAACCACGAAACGGGGCTGTTCAGCGGCATGATCTACCCGAAAGGCCTGTCCAAGAACTCCACCTGCCTGAGCGAATACAGGTGAGTGTGCTGGCACTTTGGATAATCGAATCCCGACTTTAATCCATTTAATCCTCCACCCCACAGAGATCATGTGGGCTCCCTGCGGTACAAACTGCCGCTGAGATCTTGCAACACGATGCCGAAGGAAACGGTAAGTCTAGAATTTCATTACTCCCCGAAAACTCCCACTCAGGCAGATGGTAGATGGTGACGCCACATCTCCCATATTCCAACTGGTTCTACCATTTTGGCATGCAAATAAAAATATAAACATTAAGCTTAAGCACTTATAAGGCAGCCAGGCCCGACTCATTGGTTACAAGGTAAAGTCCATATGCCATGATGATTAGTCCATTGAAAGGTTGCGACTCAAATGGCCAACTCACGCACCTTTTGCGGCTAAACTAATGATGCGATTGTGATGGCTTCACAGAGTTTTCAGCTAAAATAGCTGTCATTAGACATGGTGGATAAAATTAAGAATCTAATGGTTATGGGTTTGGCTTTTAAAAATGTCTATCGTTTAATAGGAATCAGCAACAGGTGATTAAGTGGTGAAATTTATATTCCAGGAAATATTTATTACGTAGCAATGGTACATAGAAGGTACAAGAGTGGGCCAAATTAATATTTTCATTACAGAACCTATTAAATTATCATTTTTATATCCAGAATCTATTGCTTCTGTTAACTAGCCTCACTCAAAACCAGATTTCCCAAGATCTCTGACCCGATCAAGCGTATTATTGATCTGAACCGACCGATCAAGCGTGACAAGCTGTCTCCCATGTCCCTGTAAACGATATCAAATAATCCGAAAGACGGCCAAGATGTGCCATATAAATTTCAGTCTCGCTTCGCCATTGCGTTGGTCTAATACGTATATGGCCCGACTTATTTATTGGCTCATTCATTCGATCGATTCGGGCAAACAACGGGCTGTGTCTGTGTGCTGGGATCTGATTTTGAAATCTCAATTAGCACTTAACCGGGCTAATGCGGCTGCAACTCACGCACCTCGGCCGCTTCGTAGAGGCATTTTTATAGCCACTGCCACACAGTCCGTTTGTGATACATATTTAATGTAATTTTCTCGACTCTTATGGGGCAGCGTTTTGTAATTTGTTGCCTGTAGCGGCTGCTGTTTGCTGCTTTTTCCTTTCGCTCGATTGGATTGACACAATTTTTGAAATTACCAATGTTAATTGCAGTTACGACAGTCGACGCGATGTGGCAACAAAGTCCAGTGCGTTCAAGAACCGCAAGATGTTACGAGAAGTTATCGATTTGGGTTAGCTAGCTACTTTACGATTGCTATAGTCAATTAAAAAATTCTGTATTGTGCTTAAATATATTTACAGTGGGGCATTAAATTTAAAGTTGTATTAAAGTATTTACGGCAAAGCTAGAAAGCAGAAAAAAATATTCTATTTTAGACAAGGCAGAGAGATACATTAAATTTTTTTAAGATTTATGCGAAAAAAATGCCATACTCTTAAATTTATGTGCAATAGTTAGCACTTTAGAATATCATAGCTTTTTTCTTAGGAGATTGGGTTGTAAAAAAAGTTTTAGTGCCTTACTAAAAATTTTAATGATCATTGCACATATTTCACAATTAAATATCATGTTTAGTAAATCTAGTATTTCAAAGTTTCCCAGTTTCAGATAAAGTTTTTATTTATGCCTTATGCAATGTTGTAGTGAAATCAGCAGATAGTTAACGTGTTTTTAAATTTTAGGAAGGATGAAATTAACATGACAATCGTACCTTGGATTTTTCATACTTTAGCACATACCTAAGTTTGTTGCCTAAGTCATTAGATTTTGATTAATGTTTTGTGCAAAAACTGGTAACGTACATAACAATTTAATGATCACTGTTCATAATATTTAGGGTTACCTGCCATATTTAGCACATATAGTATTCTTTAGTTTGCTTTTCATTCAGTTCGTTGCCTAAGTCTTTCGTTTTTCATTGCTTTGTCCTTCGCCGCCCCGTTTTTTTTCTGTTGATCCAAGCAATTCACGTCAAGTGTTCAATAAGTAAGAATCGGTAAATATTATTTACCCCCCGCAAATACTGGAAAATCAACAGCGGCGTCCAAGGCCCGCGGGTAGATATCTTAAATGTTTGTCATTAAACACGATGAGCGGGTATCATCCAGCGTGCAGTCGCACTAATGGCAGCCATCCTGCCTTACGTCATCGTCGAGATGAGCTCATTGCAGTGTAAAAAGTCGCGTGACAAGCCGCCACATCTGCTGCCATTGAGCGACAGCTCCCCTGAGGAGTCGAATCGAGTCGAGTCGAGTCGAGGGTCTTGGCTGTGCACATGTCAAGCATAATTAAATCAGCCACGAACAGGTACTCGCAGGGTCGCAATTTTAATTAAAATTTAATTGCCGCCATCCCAGAATTTCTAGCTGCGAGTGGCAATTGAAAATGATTTTTCATCGCCCAGCTAGTAAGCCATCTCTCGCAGCGAAATCAATTTGTTCTGTTCGCTGGTAATGCGTTCATTGGCCACCAATGCCGCCGGTTGACCATGAAAAGGCCAAAAATGTCCGAACATGTAAGCGCTTTATGGCCGCTATTGATATTTAAAGGCAGCTACCGCCGTGTTTGGAGCGAAGGTCAGTCGCCGACTCCCACGCATCCAGTTTTTGAACCTGTTTCTGGCCAAAATACTTTCAAGCCATCTGATACATTTACACTTGCTTTCGTACCATATTTATGCGGAGAAGTGTTATAATGACATAATAGGTTTTTCTACCGTTAGAATCTCGACCGCCTGTGCTTGAAAATCTTAAATGTCACTTTATTATGCTTTTTATTGGGCCATTGTCTTGGGATGATGATGATGCCCAGATGCTGAGAACTGACACTCGAGCATAACTGTCAACGGTTCTTGGGGGACTTGGGCAACAAAAGGAAGCCCCAGCCCGTTCTTCTCTATTTTCTTCTCCATTTTCCAACCATCTCTTGGCCTGGCTTTAAGCGGAAACGCTACAGAGGCCGAGTTGGGCAATAAATCGCACACTAGCCAGAGTCCAAAGCTTTAAGTCGGCTTCTTCGGGCCGTCGATTAATGGCTGCTATAACAACAAACATCAGCGCAGGCTATTAAGAATACCCAGCTGAGGAGAGCCCACTTTAACGAAGAACTTCCGTGCCCAAATCCGTAGAGACCCAATTACAAAACTTCCGAGCTGGCGGTGTATAGTATGTACTTACCCCGGTCATTACCTCACCTTTCTTTGGCTTTCGGCTGCCATCGCCATCGCCATCGAGTGTGTACTCGATTTGTTTCTGCTGCCCGTTGGAATTAGCACAATCACCGATGGGCGAATAACCCGTTACATGTGCACTGAGCGAAAAATTATTATGCCAATTTGAGTACAACATGTTAAGCCAACTTTTTAATGGTTTTCTTTACTGCTTTGGACTGGATACGAGTTACTAGAAATATTGAAATTACATGATTATAGTATTATCAAAATATTACATTAAATTAATAGCTACGTACCATTTAAAAAAGATATGGACAATGTAAACACGTGTATAAATGTCTACATTGAATTGTTTTTTATCTTTATATATTTTAATAAATGTATAAATGTATAAAGCAGAAATATAATTACTAAAATATTAATATAATCCTTCCAAATAAACAAAATGTTGTTTTCCAAATCCAAGAATGTTTTACTATATTGTAAATGTTGGTTTCATAAAATGCAACATAATAAAAACATAACATTCAACTATAATTATTTTATGTCTCTCGAAAATCCGAAGCTTACCCACCCCCCTTTGACATAGAAAAATATTTCTCTGTACATCCAAATTAAGTTTGAGTAGGAAAATAAAAGGTAATTCAGAATACCTGCAGGTGTTAATAACCAGGTGGCAGACCAAGAAGATTTTCTCATCAGCGGATATTCAATTAAGAATCCCTTCCTAAGGGAAATTGCATCACGCCAGCATCGCATTCTTGGATTTCCCAAGTTCCTAAGTAACAAGCCATTAAAATTCATCATGCAAACTTGGCTAATTTGCGAGGAGATAAGGCCGACAGATCCCCGGAGCGACTAGACGTCACACCTGGCCGATCGGCTTTAGCACCATTCTGATGGCGACTTCAGGAAGTGCTCCATAGCCCCCACTTTGGTATTGTCTGTCTTGGATCGCACATTCAACTTCTGAGCGGCGATTTCTGGCTGCAGCCAAGCGTGAATCTGAATGCATAATGAGAAGGGGCTTCGCCGCCATTATACTTGGGTTCAGGTGGCTGATATGGCTTCTCGGCATTAGCATTAGCATTTGCTTTAGCTTTGGATTCGGCTTTGGCTTTGGACGGTGGCCAGCCTAGCTCACCCAGAGAATTGGGGGCGAACGGGTTTGTTGTCCGGGCCTTTTGTCAGTAGGTGGTAATTGAATGTATTATTCTCATTTTAATGGTAATAACATGAGCGAAAGAAAGTATATACTTACTGGACAAAAGAAACGTAATTGAAAAATAGAATGGAAGGTAGGGAAATTTATATGGCAATCTGTTTAAAACTCCTTATTCTCATGGGTAACAAAGGATCATGGATCTTAGGAAGTTTGACCTTTTGAATGTGACATAAACACAAAATTTAATAAAATCTCTTTAAGAAAATCTTTAAATAGTTCACAACAAATCCATAATCCAAATATATACTTAAGCCAAATTTATCAATTATTTAGATATGAAAATGAAATTATTAATAATTCAAAGAAAGTTGAGCCCTAAAAAATATATTTACAACATTTATTGACTGATTTATGACTCCTGATTAACCATGCCTACAAATTCCAAATTATTCCTCCTTCTTTCAGGATGATGGTGGCATCGAGTTCTTCAACACCATAGTGCTGCAGCCGCACCTGAAACTCATCACGGACTTGGGACGTGGCTACCACGTTCGCTGTGCCTACAAAAGCCGCGATGCAGCCATGAAGCCCAAGAAGTATCTGCGCAAGCACGCCCAGAAACCACAGGCCTTCCGCAGCGAAGATCGCAGGGACTACGGACGATCGCTGGACAAGCAGCAGGACGATGACCAAGATGAGGAGGATGTCTACGATGCGAATGCGCCGCAGGAGCAGGAGGATGTGAGCAACAACGAGATACCCATGCCCGCCTGCCACATGAAGATCTACAACGACGAGCACAAGATAGCCGACGATGTGAAGATTGGCGATCCCCTAACCATAGTGATCAGCATCGATAGACAGCAGGTCTATGGACTCCATGTGACGGACTGCATAGTTCGCGATGGCTTAGGCTGGGGAGAGCAGCGACTGGTGGGTGAAGATGGGTAAGTCAGATTGAAATCAATGTTGATATGGACAAAACTCATGAATTATTATCATAGCTGCCCAATGGACAACGAGATCATGGGTCAGTTCAACTACACCGAGGATCGTTTGGCTGCCAACGTGACCTTCCCGGCGCACAAGTTCCCGTACACCACTTCCGTCTACTACCAGTGCAATGTGCGTCTGTGCGCCCTGGAGGATCCCACCTGCCAGGAGGCTCCTCTGTGCAGCGGCAAGAGGCCCAAGCGCCAGACGGCGGTCGACAGCAAGGAGGAGGACGGCCTGCCCGCCACCATCGAGGTCTTCTCCGGCCTGTATGTCAACGAGAACGAGAATGCCAATGACAGCGACGATGATGCGGTTTACAAGGAGAAGGTAAGTGTCTAGGAATTTACATACCCATAACAATGAGATTATTTGATGGTATTTCTTAGCTATCAAATGTTTCATTTAATCTTTCAATTCCTAAGATCAATTCCTAATCAAATCAAAACCGCGAATTCTTAAGAACAAGTAGATTTAAGTGGTTTAAGATGACTTACAGAATATAGTTCAAATGCTTGATTTGAAAGATGACTTATTATCAAGCCAAGAATTATTTAGAGCAAGTTGATTTAACATAGATGATATCATATAAGTTGACTATACTTTGAAGCATTTTAAGATAAATTCCAAATTCAAATGCATCTTTTAAAATGTTTTTTAATACTTACTTATACTACTTTTAATACTTATATAATATATTTATCCTAATTCCAGACTCTGGATGATGCCCTGTGCGTGTCGCAACGCACCTTCGCCATAGCCATTGCCATCGCTGGCCTGATCCTCATGCTGGCCGTGGTCGCCGCCGTGCTCTGCATCATGGCCCGAAGGAGCACCAAGACGGTGTCCAACTCGGGCAGCTCCATCTACAGTGGACCCTACACGAACACCGCCTTCTCGCACAGCAGCTAAGCGCGGGGAGAGGAGGTCCTCGAAGAGAAAATTCAAAATTCAAACGTTTCCAAAATGTAAAACACTCAAAGTGTTTAAAATCAGAGAGATAGAGAGAGTTACCAGGAGAAGATTCGGTCGCGCAGGTGCCGCTGCGGTAGTCAACGATTGGTAGGATTGGGAGCCACCTAGTTTTTAAGGATGCCGGAGCAGTCAGTCGTCCTGCGGCTGTTTCCTAGATTAAGCCTAGTCTTAGTTTGCAAAATGATGTGCAGAGATTACCGGGCAATGGCGGGGGTCCATCCTAATTGCCCGCTAATGTCGCAGAGATCCTTTGTACTCCATATGATATCCAGATGATATGGTATTTAGAGAACTCTGTTCCGCACAGTCGGTGTTGGACTCGCCCCTCCTTCAGACACTCCACTGCAAGTGTAAGCGTGTTTCTACATCCCTACCTTAACTAACCTACTTCCCCTAACTTAATCACTCGAACTAACAACGAATGCAGCAGCCGACGCTCAGGTGATATTTGTACTCGTATCTACTTAATGACTAACTCCTATTCGTAATTTATTAATTTATCGGATGCCTAACTGCCAAAGGTCCAAAACTTCAGCACTCGACGCCCTCTTAGTAGAATTTCCTGAATATTTTCTTGTCATTGATTTACTTAACCTGTAAACCCCATGCGGCAGGAGCCCTTATTATAAAGCAGCCGTCCCGACCAGCCACTTACTATATACGATAACGAAAAAGGAATGTCTGGCAACAGTTCTCAAAGTAAGCTTAGGCCTTTGCACCGCTTCAATCGAGCATTCCAACGCCCACTGGCAAAACGAGGGAATGCTCCTCTGGAGCCGTTCAATCCACGCGATTCAATTCATATTTTAAAGCTCAATTTTAGTGTACCTCTAAGTTAATATTAATCATTGAACAATAAACTCAAATTGACCTAAATATCTGCTGCCGACTTTGAGTGACACTACCTGTCGGGGGTTACAATGTGATGAAGCGCAAATGGATCAGTGTACTTTTGCGATTGAGCAAAACTGGTTATAAAATTATACATAAATGTAATTTTAAAAAAGGGTAAGTTCATTTAAAAAACGAGCAATTAGCCTTTCTACAGATTTTTAAGTGTATTCGATTTGAACTTTCTTAAGATAAATTAATCTTCAAGATTTATCCTTTGGATAAATTCTCAAGTTGGGATGCCAATCGATTAGGAATTAAACCATTTAAAAAAACAAATAAATTTTAAATAAAAATAATTTTAAAAAATTAATTACTTTTTAAACGACTTAGAATATTACAGAATTTTGAAGGTTTTATTTCCAAGAAGAAACTAGTTGTTAACAAAATGCCGACTACTACATGGGTTATCTTTTATGGACTGATGGGTCTGACGACGAGCTCCCTAAATTGCCCCACTGAAAAATCGCATCCCGTGCAGTTCCACCTAGTTCGTCAGTGTCAACGAGCCTTGTCCGAGGATGCACTAGCTCTGGAAAACACCTCCTCCCTGGAAGAGTGCGCTAATCTGGCTCACGAAATGCGAGGTCTGGCCTTGAACTACGCTCCTGGAGGACCCAAAAGAAGAAAAAACTTATACGATCAGAGACCCTTTGGCAAGGAGAGTCGAAAGCAGCAGCACATACGAAGTCGTTTAAATGTTTTTGAACAGCCTGGAGAGTTTTTCAACTGCCATGTTCTGCAATGTCCACAAAACCACACATTTTCCGGCATGGTCAACGATAGTCGTTTTGATTATTACAGTTTATATGGCAGGCCATCTGGTTGGTACACAAAAGTATCTCTTAGGATATTATAAATCATGTGCTATTATTGCAAGTTATCCAGAACTATAGCTGCATTCCGGAAGTTGGCCTATTTGTGGTCTATACGCAGCCCAGTATCTACTTGAATGCCTCCTTGACCTGCACTAATTCCTCGGAGTTCACTGGTAGTCTGGCCCACGTAGCTTCTGAGGCCAGAACGAACTCCTTGGCTCAGTGGTTACAGGTGTTCAACAGGAGACCACAAATGGAGACAAATATCTTCCTAGCCTATGTGGGCTTGGTGTACAATAGCTCTACTTCCCTAAGCCCTCTGGATTTTCGGAATTCTCAGCAGGAGAGCCTGCAGTGCTTTCTTTACAGAGCCTGGGAGGCAGGTAATCCTCGTATCGGGTGGGTTGGCAATCATTTTTAAAGATACATATTGAATAAATCTATCCAAATTACCAGCCAGGAGCTGAGCAATGCCAGCTGCGTGGCGCTGACACCGCAAGGAACTTGGCAAACCCTCAACTGCGACCGGGAACTGCCATTCATCTGCGAAATCCACACGGCCCGGCCAGTTTCCACCTGGGAGCACTCCCATTCCGAGCTGGACATTGGCCCAAATGCGGTCTTCGAGTGTAGAAACGATTGAGTCCTATGGCAGCATAGATATTCGCAGCCGTTTTATTCACTTAAGCAGTTTTCAAAACACAAAAGCCAAATATAGTTATTATATGGTGTTTGCCCGCCTCTCGCACGCCGTGTGGAAAGTGTAGATCTAGTTTAGATGCAGGACCACCGAAAAAGCATCGCTTAGTGGTACTTGTAGTTCCTGTGGTGCTTCAACTTGGTGTAGTTAATCAGATAGAAGAACGTCATGCTGGCGACGGTCAGCTGGAAGAAGGGAGCGATTCCGGCGCGCTTGGGGAACACGTACTTGTGCTGCCAACGCCACCAGGCACGGCTCACAGCTCCGGCCAATGCGTTGGGGGTCTTGTTGCGGCGTCCCAGCCAGGCGCCAATCTCGCCCAGCTTCACCTGGCCGAAGGGCACATCGGCTGGGGATCAGAAAACAAGGGAATTATGTAAATTGGTTAGCATCGTTTGTGGGCCAGGGTAAATGTGCTCTGCGCCTGCCGCAAAACACCGAGCGAAAATTACGTAATTTCTCGGTTTTGTCTCACCTTTGCCGTAGAAACGGGCCGGGTCGTAGGGCCCGTGCACCTTTGGGTTGTACTCAGCTGGATAGTCACCGAAAGCCATCTCGCTGGTTTGGTTAAAGTTTATTCTTAAATCGGAATCTTATGAAACGAAAAATTACGCCTGCTACTTACTCGTTCGATACCAAAAGTATGACGATCAGTGTGACCGAAACAGCGGAATCTCAGTATTTTTCGGCTGAAATTACCAATTACGTTAGCTTAGGGTGACCATTTAGAGTATATTTTAAATATATTTTATAATTATAATTTTAAAACTAAAAGTGTGCAAACATTGATGATATAGTTTAAAATGCTTGCTCGTTACACTACCATAATAATACAAATATTAAGAAAGTTAGCTAGCAACAAAACAATCAAAAAATGCAGTATATTTTAACGGAAATTTGCACCCTATGAATTAATTTTATAACGCTAAAGTACAAGCTATTTTTTAATTTCTATCGTTAATGTTTTATATTTAGCGCTTACTTTTTTCAATTCATTAAAAAATCAGTATTTTAATTATGCTTTTTGCTATCCCCTAAAATACCTGTCTTATTTTGAATTGAGCCACCTGGCAACACTGCAACTCCAGTATATACAGAAATCAAATACGATTTTTGCAAGCCTGGCCATTCGAATTGGAATCCAACCAACAGTAAAGCGGAGTTGTAAACAAAAACAATGAAACTGGAGGAGCTGCTGACCAAAGGATCCTCCTCGCCGCCGGAGGACGACGACGAGGACGAGAAGGTGGAACTGAAGCCACAGAAGTCGAGCAGCGCCACTGCGGATGAGGGGGCGGAGAACGCGGAGGATGCGGCCGAGGATGCTGGCGAAAAGGAAGGCGCGGGTGGCAAAAAGAAAGGCACGCGCAAGAAACGCTCACTCAATTGGGAGGAGGCCGAACGGGGACTGCTGCTCGAGGTCATCAAGTCCAAGGTGGCCTTCGTGGAGAACCGCAGTGTGGACGCCAAGAGCATAAAGGCCAAGCGTCTGGCGTGGTCGCAGATCACCAAGCAGTAAGTTGCGCAATAGTGTTTGAGAAGCTCCTGTTTTAAACACTCTTCCCTTGCAGGTTCAACGCCCTCAACTTCCGCCACCGCCTGTTGGAGCAGATCCAGGTACAGTGGCGCAGCATGAAAAACTCCGCCAAGCGGGAGCACCAGCAGAAGCATCCGAAGGCGGAGGCCCTCGAGGGCATGCGCATGATCGAGTTCCTGGAGGAGATGCAGAAGGACCCGGTCACCTCGCGCAGCCAGACACGCAGTGCCAACACCAACGGCGTCGTCAAGAAGGAGCTGCTGGACATCGACGAGGACGAGGACATGCCGCTGGCCGCTCTGCCCAACTCCACGAACGCCAGCGAGGACACGCTGCAGACCTCCACCATAGCCATCCCCTCGCCGCCGCCCTCCACCGCCGGCGGGGATGGGGACTCGCAGCAGGAGGCCACTCCCGCCCAGCCGCCAGTCCAGCGCCGCAAGCGGGCCAAGGCCAAACCATCGCCGTCGGGCGCCAAGACAGAAACGTCCGCCGAAACGGGGGAAGAGAACGAAAAAGGCGCAGCATCACCGCGAAAACGCAGACAGAGGAATGTGAGTTGGGACAAAAGTCCATCCTTATCAGATTGCCATATAGGCAAAGAGAATTGTCTTTTTCGGGTTTCTTTTTTAATCTTTTGAGTTTATTAATTAAAGATCTGTATAAAAACATTTTTTAGGTTATTATATGTATATAGACCATCTGATTTCAATTAGACTTGGCCGCATTATCCGTTAGAGTCGAGTCTTTATTCTGTTCCTTTAGAGATAAGTAAGCATTATAAAAATAGTAACTTAAATGAAAAATTAATTACCTAATTTTGAAATGTAATGGCCTTATAATAGGATACTTCACCTGTTTCTTTATAAACTGTCTTAGTTTCCCATTGTTAATTAAAACTTACTAATGATATTCTATCTTTTACTAGCTTTCACAAGCCCAGTCGCTACTTTCCGACGAGAACGAGCCCTCCAACAGCGTAGCTCAGACCGGCTCGTTCCAGCAGCTCTCCCTGGGCGCCACACCAGCGGTGGACACGAATAGCCAGCCATTAGATCTTGTTTCCGCCTCCGAGATGGAGCAGAAGTACAAGCAGGATCTGTTCCGGCTGCTGAAACAGGCCCGCCTGGCCGAGATCGACTACGCTCGGCGGGAGCACGAGCAGAAGCTGCGCTTCGAGCAGATGGAGCAGGAGGTCAAGATGGCCTACTACCGGCAGGAACAGGACCTCAAGCTGCGGCACATGCGCGAGGAGCACGACATCCGGCTGCGGCAGCAGCGGCGGGAGCACGAGGCTCGCCTGGGAATCTACTCGGTGAAGGGATGCGGTCTGAACGGAAGCATACAGGAACAGAGCTCAGCAAAGTGCAATGCCAAAGCGGACTACAACAACGTCCACGAGGTCGGGCCATCGACCAGTGCGGAGGGGGCGCTGGCGCCCAATGCCGCCTGCAATTAGGGGGCGTGGCCGTTGGTTCATATGCATATACAATACGGATTGCCAGCAATTAGCGTGTAAGGGCATTTAGAGGAAACATCAACAGTACTTTAAAATTTAGCTTGAAATACGTTTAGCGAAATGTAGCTCATCCGGTTGGTTAGCCGGAAATGCAGAAATCCGGATCCGGAAACGAATACGAATACTCATCGACACACTCAAGTTGCCACACGGACAAATGGACTGTTGTTTTTTGTGCATTTCGCACCACACGAACTCACAGACATTGCATTTTCAAGAAATTAGTATTATAAATATAATTGTATCGGTATCTGTTAAGTATTCCGGGCGAAGAGAACAATTTAAAACGCGGTTGTGTCGTCGAACAGAAACAAAATACTCAAGCACAGACGCTGAATAAGTTCCCCTTTTGCAGAACGCAATTTACTCATCAGTCAGTATTCTCTATGGCCACTGTATTATTTTTATATATTCATTTTTTTAGTTTTAAGCTTTTTTTTACATTACTACCATTTATACATAGGGTAAAACCAAGCCGTATATATGTAAATCAATGTATGTTTGTTCATACATAAACGAGAAACTTTTATAATTCGTGTAATCATAAGTTACTGTACGTCGTGTTGTATAGCGCTGTAATATCCTGTCACTTGCTTCAGCTTAATAAATGCCGTATATGGGGCGAGAGCAAGGAAAAATTAAACCATTAGATAATGAAATACAAATACATAGTGTGTAAACAGTTGTGATGAGTGTTTTTAATGTTTAAAAGGGGTTGGGAATCGGGGAACAAACTTTTATGGAGTAATTCAGCAGATGTATGCCCGAATTATGTGGTTTTTCAGATTTGTATTTTTAAATCATCTATATAAATCTAAGATGCTTTTCTTATTGCTTTCAAAACAGTAGCACTAAGCTACGAAAAATTGTATTGAATAATTTTTTAAAAAACCGTATAATCAATCTCTGGAACTATTACATTTTCGAGAAGTAACACAAAATGAAGGACCTGGACGATACTTTGGATACCCTGGAAAATGCACGTTTCAATTATGTGTATGTGAAAGCCATTGCTCAGCTGGGGAAGGACTCGATCTTTACGTATAACGAGCTGGTCAGCATTGTGATGCTCTACCATAAGTTTGTCCTGGTCAACGGATCCAGGGCTAAATATATGACTATACTGCAACTCACCGTGCTAATGGAGCTCTTGTTCGAGATTGTGGATCGCGACATTATTGCGACAATTGTCTATAGAATTGCCCATACTCCGGGCTCTAGAAATTCTGACTTTTTCCCAGATAAACATGTGCATTTGGAGGCCTTCGTGAGGCTATTTACCATCTATTTTACCAGAGATTTGCAGATGAAGATGGAGTTTGCCTTCTCGGTGAGTTCAATTCGAATTTTTCGTCAATCTTAGCTATTAATTACTATACAAATATTTTAAAGATCTACGATAAGTCCGATTCCATGCAGTTATCTGGCGAAGATGTAGGATTTTTTGTTTCTAAATTTTTCGAGAACGAAGATGAAGACGAAGCCATGGAGTTGCGATTGGTGAGAAAATCTATTTTTTATATTTAAATTTAAATTATATTTATTTGCCATTCCTAAAGGACATGAAGGAAATGCTCTTCCTAAAATTCGATCTGGACAAAGATACCAATATTCAGGTGGAGGAATATTACGAGGTGGTACGCCGACAGCCAATGTTGCTAGAGTGTTTTGGTCGTATCTTTCCCCCCAATCCTCGCATGGAGGTCCTTGCTCTTTGCGCCAATGTTATGTCCTGGTTTGACGACTCTCCCAATCCAAGGATAATGACAAAACCAGACAATGGAAAGGGAGTTATCTGAAGGGAAGCGCTATACAAAAGATCCCAAGTGATAGTAGATTTTAAAATTAAATCGTGTTAATGTAAAAAAATGTTTGCCAATTAGGGAAGACGAAAAGAAACCCAAAGCAACAACATAACAAAAATTACATTTTTGATTGTAGATATTAATAAAAAAGATTAAGATTTAATTTTTATTTTGAGTTTAATTTTATGCTTGTTAATTTTCTAATAGTGTGAAAATTATAACCAAAACTATGGCAAATATTTGAAACACATTTTTTTTATAAATATTTGTATTTACTGTTCGTTAATTTTCTATATATTTTCAACGGTACACCAGCAACATTGAATCTGAAGCGATAACGATACCGATTTCGAATACACACTACATATGTGCATGTCGAGGCTCTCGCATACCTAATACACGCGACCTGACCGTAGTAAACAATCCAAAATCAGTCCAAGCAAACGCTTCCGAAATGGCCACGGAGGAACACCAGCGCCTGGCCAGTATCGTGAAGAGCTGCCACGAAAGCTTGCGACAACTGACGAAGGAACATGGCGCCACGGTGGCCTGGCAGGAGCACACGAGTCCTAGGAATGCCAAGCGACTAGCCGAGTACGCCAAGGCCATGCGGCAACTGGCGGCCATATGGGAGACCAACGATGACAACGTGGAGCTACAGGCACGCAGTCGCATCAAGTGGGCCATCGACTACATCACCAAGTACTTTTTCACCGAGGGTATCTACATGCAAAAGCGACAGCGGGAACAGCGACTCCTGGAATCTTACAGAGCCGAAGGAAAGCTGGACGAGGTCGAGTGCAGGATGATGGAGGAGCCGCCGGACAGACTGCATGTGCTGGATGTGGGCAGCTGCTTCAACCCGTTCGCCAGTGCCCCGCATCTCGAGGTCACTGCTCTGGATCTGTGTCCCGCCACTGAAGATGTTCTTCAGGCAGATTTCCTCAAGGTCGAGGTGGTGCCTGGAATAGATAAACCAGAACTGGAGGCGGGCAGCGTGAGGAGGCTCCCAGCAAACCACTACGAGTGCGTCATCTTCAGCCTGTTACTAGAGTACATGCCCAGCGCCGAGCAACGGCTAGAGTGTTGCCGCAAGGCCTACGATCTTCTCCTGCCCGAGGGCATCCTCGTGCTCATCACACCCGACTCGCAGCACGTGGGCAAGAACGCCCACCTCATGAAGAACTGGCGCTACTCCCTGGCCCGGCTTGGACTGCTGCGGGTGCGCTTCGAGAAGCTGCCACACATTTCGTGCATGGTTTTCCGCAAGGCCATCAGCCGGGAACTCTCCCAGCACTGGGCGAGCATTCACCGGGAGGAGGGCATGAGCGAGGAAATCCGGATACCGCAGGACGATGGCTAGATAAGATACAGGCCTCATAAATCGATGTAAATATGTTCATGTCTACTTATTTATGGCTTAACTTATCTGTGTTAAGTGCGAGTTAATAATAATGGTTGACGATTTATCTACTATCTATAGATGTCGTAAATGGACAAATGCTATTGCTTCTGTTCCGAGTGTGGGAACAGGGCGCCGCTGGCTTGGCGCTTCTTCATCGCCGTGGTGGCGCCCTGCGATATCTTCATGATGTTCGGTGGTAGCGGCTTCTTGCGATCCGCCTCCCATTCGGCTCGATGGAGTCGCTGGCGGTGCTTGTACATGTTGGCGTTGGAAAAGAACGTCATGGGACAGTTGGGACAGGTGTAGAGCACTTCGCCGGTGTGCGTGGACGTGTGTTCCTGTGGATTTGAATATGTGCATGAACTTCAGCTTCGTTGGTTATTAGTTTCTAGGGCTTACCCTTAGATCCTGCGGTCGTTTGAAGGCCTTTTCGCACATCCCGCACTTGAACTTCCGCTCGCACAGATGGTTGTGGTAGATGTGGCGCTTGAGGGCCCTGGAGTTGGTGGATGTCTTGTTGCAGATATGACATCGATGCTCGCCACCCGGCGGCTCGTGCACCGTGTTCATGTGCTGCTTCAGTCCGGACAGGTGGCGCAGCCAGGTGCCGCAGATCTCGCACTGGACGGGATCGGGCTTGGGCCGCGGCTCCTCGGAATGTTCCAACTCATGATGCTTTTTGAGATTCGTTTGGGAGCGTAGCGTCTTGCCGCACTTATCGCAGATGATGGCCGTTTCCGGGTCGTGCATGTAACGCAAGTGCTCCTTCAGCTTGCGCTCCGTTGGAATCCTGAAAGCGTTAAGAGATTAGTTCCGAAATCGGCTATATGGGGCACCCAAAAAGAATACTCACTTCTTGTTGCACTCTGGACAGGAGAATTTGAACTCAGACTTGGGCACATGTTTGGACACGTCGTGGTACTCTATAGCCGCCTTGGTGGTGAAGCTTTTAGGGCACTTCTCGCACTGGTAGACCCGCTTCTCCTTAGGCTCTGTCTTGACCTCCGGATTCGTGTGCGTTTGTTCGTGAATTTCCAGGGTGCGCGAGTCCTGGAACACTCGACCGCACTCCGAGCACATGAAGTGATCCGGGTTCTTGTGGACCAGCACATGCTCCGCTAAAGTTTTGCGTAAGTGAAACTTTTTTCCGCAGCACTCGATGAAGCCCGAATCTATGTTGTGGGAAACACGCTGATGTCGTCGCATGTCCGCAAAGTTTTGCACCAGCAGATTGCAGACGGAGCAGGGGAACTTCTTGAAGAACTGCAGGATAATCTCATCGTACTCGCTCTGTTGAAGCTTCCGTCGCTCGATCTCATCGCGGCTTAGGCGAACGGGTGGAACCAGAGGCTTCTCCCGCTTTCGGTACTTTTTGGGTTTCACCACCACCCGCTTCGGAATTTCGGCGTACCGCTCTTCGGGCTCTATGTCGGGCAGGCTGTGGTCGGAATCGTCGCCACTGCTTTCACTGGAGGAACTGGAGCTGTCGTCCGTCCCCAGGACAGCCTCGGCAGCTACAAACTCCGTGTCATTATTGTCTCTGCAATCGTCATCGTTCTCATCGGAGTCCAGCTCTTTTTTGGGAGAATCACGGGGCTCCGGCTTGGCTTTAGGCGGACGGCCACGTCTCGTGCTTCTTCGTAGCGGACGACCCTTGATTGGTTCGCTAACCTTTGCTGCTCCATTGGAGTTGCTCTTAATATCCGAGGACACAAAATCAGCTAGAGGTACATCCGAATCACTGTCCAGTGGCTGCTCGTTTTTAATGCGCCGCTTTGCAAGAGGAGAACCTTCGGCTCGGACACCCAACCGCTTAGCGACGGTTTTGGTCTCCGTGTTAACAGGGTCCTCCAAAAGTTCCACTTTGGGCAGAGGTTCCAGTTCGTTCACCTCTACTTTGACTTCACTGGGCGCGAAGAACCCTTCGGCCAAGGCGTCCAGCTCCACAGAGTACAGCGGGTTAATGGCATCCTCCGTTGCGCCGCAAAACTCAATTGGCACGCTCTTGGAGTCACTGCTTCTCTGCTGGTGCAGGCAGGAAACGCGCTGGTGGAACTCCTCGAAGCTGCTGATGCAGTTCCAGCATTCCCGGCAGATCGCCGCATCACTGTCCGCTGTAAGGATCTGCGGGGGAGGGAAATATGAGTCCTTAAACACCCGAACTTGCGGTTATGGCGCACAGCTTACCTCCGAAAACGAAAAGTGCTTGTTGATGGTCGCCCTAATGTTCAGACGGATGCCCTCTGCGGACTGCAGTCCGTAGCCGTCGGAGGAGCAGGCCAAACAGAGCACGCAGGCCGTCATGATGTAACCAGATCCAGTGGGAAACCTCTAATCCTGCTCCATTTCCACTCAAAACTTTTGTTTACGATTTTGCAAAAATTTGTTTTCGTCCAATGCAAAGGAGAGTTGTCAAGTGCGTGGAAGGAAAGGCTCTTAACCGATATTATCGGCATCTATACAATAGTCATCGTCACTTGTCCAATAAGTTCGTTGTGGTCTTTAGAATATTTATTTGCAATAGCTCCAAAAGAGTCCTAAAATGACTATAATAATAAAATAAACTATATAATAAACTATATAATTAAGATTTTATAATATTGAAATTACTCTAAATTGAATTATATGTTATATTCATTCCAGAAGGAAGACTAGACACTAGAAGTAAGTATTTTAAAATGTTCAATAAAAACAATAATACAATGATTTTTAATTAACAAGTTTGCCGATTTACAAATCTGAATCGGAAAATAAATACATCTCACGGTAAGACCATTCAATTTAAATACCAAAAAAAAACAACAACATGATCATTGATTAGTATTTTTATTTTCTATAAAAACCCTAAACGACAACCCTAATAGAATGTCCTACCGCCTTTACATTCGCGCCTAGACGCTGTGGAAAGTGTATAGTGACTGGAATAATACCAAAACACGCACATTGCGAAGTCAGCTGTTGTTATTGCATAGTTAAATAAAGATTAAGAGTTTTAACGATTTGTATGCCATAGCTTAGACGTGTTCGACCGATAATGGGCAAGCTGAAGAAAAACAAGAACAACCAGAAGACGAAGAAGATGAAGCAACAGTGGCACAAGAAGGGGTTGGCCTCCGTCAAGGCTTCTGAGATCCTGCTAAAGCTGTCAGCGGTTGATCCCCAAAGAGATAAGATGGTAAGTTAGGGATTATTATTTTAGATGAAACTCCATTTTGGCGACATTTCCGAGTTCGCGTCGGTTTTACGCGCAGTTTCTGTTTTTCGGTGTGTGGTGACCAAGTGGTGGTGGAGGCTCTTTTGGGCAGTGCGCAATCGCTAGCGCCCAACTCCCCACATTCCCAGTGAATAGTGAAAAGTTCCAGACACATAGGTCCAGACAACTGAATCATCGCTGCCGCAATCAGCAAATCCGCATCCGAATTCTAGAGGCCAAAGTTTTACCCAATAACCCACCAAGTATGGAGAAGATCTGGAAAAAGGTGTGCGAGCATCACGATGTGCCCGAGCAGGTGGCCAACGAGTGGTTTGCCCGCATCCAGCAGCACCTCAGCTCCGAGGATCCCGCTCGCGCCTATCATAATTGGCAGGAGATGATGCAGCGCAAGGAGCCGCATCTGGCTGGCGTAGCCGATCCCAACATTGTGCTGGCTGCCTTTTTCCAGTACTATCATTTCGATGGCAACCGTAGCTGTGCCGAGCAGAATTGCGAGGTCTTCGAGGAGTTTTGCCACGATGCTGTCATCGAGGATGTGAGTAGGAGTCTGGCTTAATTGTTCCTCTAAATCCGAAGTGTTTTGCCTTGAACAGGACCGCGCCAAGAGCCTGGTCTGCAATTTGTTGGGGCGCAAGACTCCAGAGAACCAATTAACCTGGTGCCATGACGACGAGGCCAATTTGCTGCAGGATGTGGACTTGGTGGTGCTTGCGTGAGTATCTATCTATCAACCCATCCTTCGCCCAATTCATCCCTATTTTTAACTACTCAAGTTCTTCGCCAGAGGAGTATAAGCACTATACAACTTTACTCCGCTCGGAGTACGCAAATCTGGATGATGCCACTTACAAGGCCATGCGCATCAAGGTGCTGGAGACCCTGCTGATGATACCCTCAATCTATGCCACCGGGGACTATCATGACAAGTACGAGGAGTTGGCCCGCACCAACATACGCAGCGAGATCAACGATCTTAAGAAGCAATAGACTGGAGTTGGAGGAATCGAAATGCGACGGGGCTGCTTTGTTTACTGCTGTTAAGTTGTGTACTTACTGGCCGTTTTACCTCGTTTGACTGCAAGGCGTTCGTGTAACAGGGAGCAACTTTCTCTGCCATGCATCTATTTAATTTTACTTTTAAGTCAAGTGTATCAAAATCATTTTCCTAGTTAGTGTGTACGCCTAGATATATACGTAAGCCCTGTAGACTCCAGCTCATAATAAACTTGATGTAAATGAAACCAAAACATGTAGTTTTTCTAAAAGCACTTAAAGAACCAAAGAAATATAAAATCGCAGTAAGTAGGAAAAGTAATGGTAACATTTCGATAATATTAAACAAGTCATTTTTATTAAATAGGTAGCAACACAAGAAACAGCGGTCTCCAGTACCAGCGCCGAAATGCCAAGACCAGAAGGGTTCAGAAAGTTCAAAGATGGCAAATCCAAGGTAACTCATAGAGACCTCCTGCAGAATTTACCAAAACGACTACAACGCGAGGCTATTCAAAAGAAGAAACTTGATCGTGAAATGGTTTCGAAGCTACTGAGTTCCATTAAGAAAAAGTACAAAGTCCAGAGAAACCCTCGGATTAAGCGAAGATTGGACTTTCGTCGAATGGAATCACCGAAAAAGATTCCCTTGCTTCCTTTACCAAAGTTCTACAGACCTCTGAAGGTAAACATATTAAGGCATTTAGATATTTTGTTTTTCTGATAAACTAATTTAACATTTAGAACACGGAAAATGCTACTATAGTTATAAATGAGACCATTGAAGACGGTGAAATCATCGAAGAGTTACCGAGCAGCGACGACGATGACTGCGTGTTGCTGGAGACTCCAAATGTCTCCATAAATATTGATGATGATGAAGATGAGCACGGTGATGAGTCCAACCCTAGTGAGACACTTTTTAAGGACTGTCAGCGTCTGGCCGAGAGCATATCAACACCGAAGATATTTAAAGATTGCAAAGGCGAGGCTGCTTTACGTTTAAAAACAAAATCAGTAAACAAAGTTTGGTACTCTACAATTACAAAGACAAGACCCACCATCATCTTGGCTGATAGCCCTGAACGAGTGCCCAGTACAGTTCCAGACAACAACGATTCAGTAATAATTATAGAGGACTCAGCGGGGTGTATTGGTGGAGAAGACTTCATCAAAATCCCCTTATGCAGTCCGCCGAAAGGCATGAAGAAAAGTAAGAAGTTAGCAGAAAAGCCCGAAAGAAAAAGCAGTCGGATGAACAACAGCTTATTCACTTCTTCCGAAAAGAAAAAACTTGGACATTATAACAGCAACACATTTAATCCCTCCGAGGAGGAAGCAGTGACCAGTAGCAGTAGCAAGCCAAAAACGAATAAGAGAACTATTATCATCGACGGTAGCAATGTGGCCTTTGCGTAAGTTCTCTAGTCGAGGCAAACCCTCTTTATATTTATTAAATCTTTTGTTAACAGCCATGGAAACTCGAGATTGTTCTCTGCAGAGGGAATCAAGTATTGCGTGCAGTACTTTGACAAAATGGGCCATAACGTCAAGGCTGTAATTCCAATGTTTCGGAAGAACTTATACAAATCCTCGAATCCTGAAATTTTGGACGAGTTGCACAAGGAGGGAAAGTTAGTTTTTACGCCATGTAAAAATATTCCCGGAAAAATGTCATCAAGCTACGATGATCGGTGAGCATACTAGATGACTATTTTACTTCAGAAAAATGTAATATATACGATTGCCCTTTCAGCTTTATTTTGCAGTTGGCTTACGAATGCAATGCCGCTGTTGTTTCCAACGACAACTACAGAGACCTGATTGATGAATGTCCCGCCTTCAAAATGATCGTGCAGAATCGTGTCCTTGGCTACACGTGGTGCGACAATATTTTCATACTTCCCAAAGATCCGTACGGCCGCTGGGGACCCACACTAGATGAAATTCTGCGTTGCTAAAGCCTGTGGCTATTTAGTTAGCTATGGCCTTTTTTTGTGTTTATGTAAAGATTTATTTTGTTCCATGTTAAAGATTTTGAGTTACTAGATTAATTGGCCGTCCATCCATTTTTCTCTGATATTATCTTTCAAGGTTTGTGAGGTTGGTCAGAACTCGAAATTAATTTGCGGCACTCACGTATTTTTCATGCTTTGAATAGTTTTCTATCTGAAAATTGTATTTTCGAATGCATAATACTGTAAATACGAATGGGGCGAATTAATTAAGAATATAAATGTAAGTTTCGGCCCGAACTGAAATAGTTCTCGAGGACAAAAATTTATTTACATAATAATACAACTGTACATGTGTGTATGGTGTATAAATAAGAATAAATGTAAGATTTCTTTGAAACGAAGTTGAGTTAAACCACTGGAGGCTGGCCGTTGACCAGGAACACGGTGGTAGTGGTCGACGTGGTTGTAGTGGCTACGTTTGCCTCGTAAACCGGCGGTGGTTCGTTGATTCCAGTAGTCAAGTTGGGGTTGCTTGCCTCCAAACTGGTGGCTATGGTTAGGGTGCTGTCCTGCTTTCGATCGCTGAAAGCTGCCTCATCGTAGCTGGGCGGCAGATCCAAGGTCTTGGGCAGCACACTGATCTCGTCTTGGGTGTTTACGCAAACGTTGGTGGCTCCGCGGGAGCTGTCGTTGCAGTTGTTCGTCACATTAATCTCCATTTGGCGACGGGCTGCGTAAAAATAGACACCAGGATTGCTTTAAAATGTGCTTAAGGTTTGATTAAAACAGAATTATTCTTAGCCATATTTATGCTAACTTTTTTTATATTTTCATGAATATATCAAAAAAATATATATCTGACAGCTTGCTCTTTTGAGTTTAAATACTACATACATTGCTAGTACAAAGTTTTATAATTGATAATGCATGTAAAATTATTTTTCTTCAAAAATTAGATCCAAATATTTTTTAACCATAATAAAAAAACAAGAGAGAACGCTATAGTCGGGTGCCCCGACTATCAGATACCCGTTACTCAGGTAAAGGGAGTGCGAGGGAGATGGAGATAAAAACTTTGATCATGCATAACTTTTTAACGAATGGTCCGATTTGAAAAATTTCTTCTACATTTCGATAGGTATTGATAAACACAATAAAACTGCATTTTTACTTTTCCGAAATATTTAAAATTTTAAATTCGTGTATAAGCGATTGTGGGCGTCAGAGGGGGCGTGGCACCATTTTGAAACAAACTTGCGCTGCGTAGGAACTCCTAAAATCTACATGCAAAATGCCAATCTTCTAGCTTTTATAGTTTCCGAGATCTCAGCGTTCATACGGACAGACAGACAGACAGACAGACAGACGGACAGACGGACAGACGGACATGGCTATATCGACTCGGCTAGTGACCCTGATCAAGAATATATATACTTTATAGGGTCGGAAACGCTTCCTTCTAGCTGTTACATACTTTTGCACGAATACAATATACCCTTTTACTCTACGAGTAACGGGAATAATAAGTAACAACTAATGATATATGTTATTAAAAGATGAATTCATTTGATTTGAATTAACAGTAACCGCCCTGCTGTGCTCTGTTAACCGCTTCATGTTAACCGCTTGCCAATGGCGCAGTCAACTATGAATAAGGGGTTGTGGATAAGTAAAACTAATATTGTTAAGGCATTTCTTATATTCAGCATGCACCTAGTTCCTCCGACAAGATTCCTATTTATTAAATAATGGTTTTGTTATTTTTAGTAAATTAAAGCCCTTTTCTAAGACCCTGGCTACGCCCTTGAACTTCGCTGTTGGGTCAGCTGCTCTGACGTCAGGCAAACAGCTGTTGCCGCCACGAAAAAGTTCGAGCGCTTCAATTTAATCACAGACTTTGTTATTACAACACCTACGCGCCGTCGAAAACGCGGCGCCACCTGAAGCGCACAAAATCGAGTAAGTGAAACTGTTGGCAGGTATTCCAAGGGAGCCGCGGCTCACCTTCATTCAGATGTTTACATAATGACGCTGGCCAAATCGCCGAGGTGAAAGTTTGCGCTGCATGTGGAAATGTAAATGTGGAAAATGTAAATGAAAATGTTTGCCGATATGCAACAGGTTTAGTGGATTCGATTTGCCCAAAATCATTTGGCACAGGGCAAAGTTCAAAAAGTGACTCACTGACTCAGTTAACCGTAAAAACTTTGCTGTTAATCGGAGGTGAAAGCGCGGAGGTTAATCGCAATTGCCACCTGTTGATATGGCACACCACACTGAACCCTCTCTGTTTTTCAGACGGAGGAGATGGCGCTGCGTCGGTTTCTGGGTTACGGCGTTGTGGGTGCCGGACTGGTCTCCGCCGGCTGGAGCCTGCACACCAACGACTACGACCCCAACTCACTGGGCATCGTCCGGCTGTCTCGATCCGCCGCCGCCGTCGTGGATGTGGCACTCACCTACAAGCGGGAGCTCTACTACAGGAAATGGGACAAGGAGACGCCCGAGTACAAGGCCGAGAAGAGCCGTGTCCACAAGATAGCTGCCGAGAAGCTGCTCCAGTTGATCTGCATCAACAAGGGCGTCTATATTAAGGTGGGTCAGCACATCGGTGCATTGGAGTATCTGCTGCCCAAGGAGTTTGTGCAGACCATGAAGGTTCTGCACTCCGATGCGCCGCAGAACCCCATCGAGGACCTGTACAAGGTGATCAGGCAGGATCTGCGCTGCAATCCGGAGGACATATTCGACAGCTTCGAGCGGGAGCCACTGGGCACTGCTTCACTCGCCCAAGTACACAAGGCCCGCCTTAAAAGCGGCGAGGTGGTGGCGGTCAAAGTGCAACATCCCTACGTCAAGGGCAACTCCCGAGTGGACATGAAGACCATGGAACTGGCTGTCAATGTGCTGGCAAGGATATTCCCTGACTTTAAGATTCACTGGCTAGTAGAGGAGTCCAAGAAGAACCTGCCCATCGAACTGGATTTCCTCAACGAGGGACGCAATGCCGAGAAGGTGGCTAAGCAGTTCGAGAAGTACTCCTGGCTGCGGGTGCCCAAGATCTACTGGAAATTCAGCTCCTCACGCGTCCTAGTCATGGAGTATCTGGAGGGTGGTCACGTCACGGACCTGGACTACATAAGGCGGAACAAAATTGACACCTTTGCGGTAGCCAATCGCATTGGGCAGTTGTACTCCGAGATGATCTTCCGCACTGGCTTTGTGCACAGCGATCCGCATCCAGGAAACATCCTGGTGCGGCGCACGCCAAAGGACAGCCTGGAAATCGTTCTGCTGGACCATGGACTATATGCCAACCTAACGGACAAGTTCCGATACGATTACTCCAATCTCTGGCTGAGCATCCTCAACGTGGACCGCAAAGCAATGCGGCTTCATAGTGAGCAGCTGGGCATCAAGGTATTTAGTTGGGAGATGTAGACGAACCTTAACCAATCTAACTATTTCCTTGCTTACAGGGCGATCTGTACGGTCTGTTTGCGTGCATGGTGACGGGACGTCCTTGGGAGACGGTGATGCAGGGCCTTACCAAAGTCAAATATTCCAAAGAAGAGGTGCGTCAATCGAAGCTTAATCCCTCACCAGTTACTCATTGTTTTCAATATTGATTCTGCAGAAGAATACGCTGCAGAACAACACGTCGCTGGTGCTGCCGCACATTTCCGACGTTCTAGAGCAGGTGGACCGCCAAATGCTGCTCATTCTGAAGACCAACGACTTGATTCGCGGCATTGAGTCCACGCTGCGCACCCAGAACCGTATGACCGCATTCTGGGTCATGTCGAAGTGCTGTGTGCAATCCTCCTACGCCGAACAGCGAGCGCAACAGGCTGCCTCCGGCTCCTCGCGAATCCTTTGGCTGCGGGTGCGCGAGCGATGGGAGCTTTTCAAGCTTAACTGCTACTACCTCTACTTGGGACTGATTAATTTTGGTTTCCTCAAAGCACTCAAGCAGGTCATTTAGTCTTAATGTGGTTCCCCAATTAAAAGTACAAAACTCTGGACGAGCCTGGAAAGGGAAATTACCTCGTTGTCTCTGCTGGGCGAGATTCCTGGTCGTTGTATTCTGTTTACGTTTGGCGCTCTTCGGAGAAGAACAAGTGAATCATTAGCAGGAGAAGAAGGTGTATGTATCAGTTCGGATTGGCTTACCACAATCATAGCCAGAGGAAAGGATATGACGAAAAAGAAGACCAAAACAACGTAAACAACATAGCTGGGGTAAAAGAACATGTATGGACCATTGTTGATATACGGGTCGACTTGCGGACCGACTGTTATGTAAGTCGGGTATTTGGAAGTCGAAGTCGTTCCTTCGGTGGTGAGTGTACTGTTTAGCACCTCAGTAGTTGTACTCAATAGAGTGGTGGCCATGGTGACCGAGGTGCTTATGGCAGGGGCCATGGTTAAGTTAACTACTATACCGCACTAATTAATGTGCTTTCGGGATTGATCGAATTTAGATTCCACTTTCCTTCGGAGACCACCGTTCTCTGACAAACTGACGAACCCGACTAACATGAACTACTGGCCACCGAATTGATAGGACATCCGGGCATGGGTCAGACACCAGGCCAAAAACCAAAAACCAAAAACACACATATTTGCTTTGTAATCATTAGCTGATAAGGTGACAAAACCAGTGTCGAGCCAGGGCTTTGTTTTTTGTTCGTGTTCGCAATTTATCTAATGAGGCGATATGATAAATGTGCGCAAATAGATATACGTCTGAACACACGCATAAATATATATTAATGTCGTCCATGATTTATGGCGGCAGTGAAACTCTCGTTCTCTCACTCATCTCAAGAACGAGTTCAGTGGCCCAACTGGGGCAAATATTTATGTTTGCTCTCCACAAATGCCCCACCAAACACTCACCTTGCTCCTCCTTCAAGCGCAGCGACATCGAGTACGAGCGGCAGGCAATAAGTAGCACCTGGAAAGCGAAATTTAATACCACTTCGGGAGGAACTGAATTGGCCGAAATGGGGCACTCACTCGCAGGAGGAAGAGCAGGAAGCTGAGGACGCACAGGACCAAGAGCACGACCCCCAGATTATCCATTTCGGTTAAATGACCCAGAAGATGACCCACCGAATGAGTTGTTTTGGTCGAAAACGTAAACCGTGATTCACTCTAAAGCCTAAGGCACATGTCAAAGCGATAAGATATGGCGTGTGGCCCGAACTCTGATTACATTTTAAGCAGTTGATGGACTTTTTAGCACCTTTGTCTCCGGCCACAGGGGATTCCTGGCAGACTAATGAGCGAACTGGGCCAACTGCCAGCAACTTACCAAATGGCCAACTCTCCGATGGTGCAGGCCCAGTTATCTCGGCCAGATTGCATTTAATGTTTGTGCCGGCTGTTATCTCCGGATTCTGTCCGTCAGTCAGTTGTTAACGCTTAATTGAAGCTAATGGCCGTTGTTGGCTTTGTGTGCCTTCACATTCCGGCCAAAGAACGACCCCTGACCCTTGGCAACCGACAAAAAAAAACTGGAATCGCAGACGGAGTTTCTTTTCCAACACAAATATATTTCCAATGTTTCTCTTTGATTTGAAATCAATTGAACGAATGAAAAGCATCACACGAAAATTCTTAAATACTTAAGCGCTACCAACATCGAGCCTTTACATAGATTTAGAGATACATATTTTGTTGAATTTTCAAATAGTTTTGTTGTCAGATTACGGGCTAAATAATCCCATTGTATTTCGTTTTGGTTTGCAATTCATTGCAACTCGAATAGATTCATATATGAATATGAAATTGGCACAATTTGTTTTTCATTGTTTTTGCATATGTGGTTTATATTTACTGATAATCGCTGAAACGTTTCTGATTTTCGCTAGTGCTGGCTGCAATTGAATTTCCGCTGTCTCAATTGAAATTGCAATTCGCAATTAATTTATTTACGATTTGTTGACCATTTCGTCACGCGTTTGCATAATGTCCACTATATACACAAGTATATATTGCGTATTTGTATAGGATACATGGCAGCGAAAGCTTTCCTGTTAACCAGTAAAACATTTTTATCATTTCTCATCCTCTATTTGCATCGGAACTTAATTGAAATCAAAATAAGAAAATAAATGAAAGGCAAACACCGGCGGCGAGTGTGTGTCCGCATACAATTGGCAGCCGCTGTAAGAGGTGTCAGTTGCAATTAATGGGCTCTGACCATTGTTAAACTTTAATTAGCTGCAGTGTCCGAATCCTGATTGGGTGGTTCCCCCGCACCTTGTAGTTCGTCACCTGTGTAAATAGAAATGGGGAAAAGTAAATAAAAGGCGGGGGCGACATGTTTATTCTATGGCTAAGTGGAAATATGCATATGCATGCTCACTCTCGCATAAAAATCACACACGAAATTTATTTTAATTTTTATGCACGGTCTGTGCTCATAAAAGATTCATAGACCTGTTTTCTCTCCGGGCTTTTCGCTCCTTTCGGCTTAAATTATGCCTGCGAGGAGGCTTCCTTAAAGATATCCCCCATCCTCAAGATGATACAACTTTTGTACACAGCGAAATTGGTTTCAAAAGATAAACTCACGTTGACATTTTAATTAATTTATCCCCGACTATGTCTTGTTAATAGTTTTGTGTTTCCTCCGAGTTTACAATGTAAACTGAAAATGCCAGCCATACAAGACCTTAATCAAATAAATACATATGAATACAAGCCCACACGCACAAGGTGAGACTGTGTGGAAATTGTAGCAGAAACACACCGCACAAATCAATTTGCATAAGGATAGAACTTTCCAACTTTTAGAATCGAGAGAAAACTTTGCTTTGTGGCAGGCACTGTAATCAAAAGCGATGATGGGTAAGCCCATTCATTGCTGGTTTTATTAATAAAATCAAATATTTGTAGAAAAAATAATAAATAATAATCCAAAAATATAATACGAAATTGTCAGATAAAGTTGCGTTTTTAATTAACTGATATCTTGAGAATAATATTCTTTATAATAATATGAAAAAATTAATATGAAGTTTTATCTTTGCCATCTTTGTCTGCCTTGAACATTTTTTGGTCAAAATCTCCTGCCTTGCATAATTAAAAAAGAAAAATCTTCCCTTCACTATTGTTATTTTCGGTTTTGTGTCAGCAACAGGCTGCAGATATCAGTCCACCTGTCAGTCTGTCAGCACGTATATCTAGATTTGTGGAACCAGAAGATATAAAGTCTCTCCCCAAAAGTGTAAGCTCTGTTCAAAATTAAATTTTGAGGTATCTGGGAGTCGAATCTGTGGCACTTAGGATTCCTCCCGCCCCCCGTGCGTATGTGTATTAAATTTGAAATTCAAATTTATGAAACTGCAGTAGAAGAGCGCTCGTGTCTGATTTTCATCTCAGCAGAGGAGCTCGTTTGAATCTGTGGCATTTGCTCGATGCTTTAACAATTAGATAGCATACATTTTGGGGCAGGCCAAAACTCGTAAAAAAGGGGGAAACTTTCCTCGTGGTCCTTTTATGTGGTGTAGGCTATTTTTGAGGACTACAGTCGAGTGTGGAAAGTTGCTCAGCTGGAATCAAGTTGTTAGCACAATTAGCAGTGGGCGTGATGGAGGGGGCGTGGCCGGTGGCGGCTTTCATTATCGAAACGTGCTCTCACTTTGTCCATGAATGTTGAGTGAAATTAATTGCCGGCGGGCGGGAAAATGCCGCCCCAGCGATTGCACAAAACTTTTGTTTGAATAATTTCATTAAGATTAATTTTGGCAACAAAGGATCTGGAAAATTATAATTTATAATTAGCAGCCAGCGAAAGCGGTTCTGTTTGTTTTTCGCCCTGCTAACGGAGATTTTATTGAAAATTTTAATTATGATTTTGTGTGCGTTTTTGGCTTTTTTCTTTTTTGGTTTTTAAATATTCGCCAAAAAGTTGTTGTGTGTACATGGGCCATAAATGAGGTTTTCCTGCCGCACAAACAAATTAAACTGAAGTCGAACTCAAAGCGAGGTCAGGCGAAAGAGAGCGAGTGGAAAACGCTGGACAATAAAGTTTAATGAATTACATTTTACGCGGCGGACGGGGGTCGAAGGACGAAGGACGAGCGGAAGGAGTGCCAGCTGCTGGTAATCCTTGGACAAACAGCCAGCGAAAGCGGAGCAAAAAGTCGAAAGGAAATGGAAATATGTCGACGGAAATGAGCATTGACGCCGCTGCCGTCCGATTGTCGTGACCCAGACATCCCAGTTTCGGGGTCCTGCCACCCGGAAGTCCTCTGCCTTTCCTTTGGTCAAGTCACATGCGCTGATTTCCCGACTGGGCGGGTCCTTCGCCCAACTTGCCATTTCATCATTGTCAACGGCCGCAGAACATCGAACAAACAATAAATATTGTAAACAATTTGTTTGGCCTGGCTGGGGAAATAGAAAGCCATGGCAAATATTTGCCCACGCCCGGAGCAGGCCGAAACGGAAATCGTTTCCTCCAAGGAGTTGGAGGCGGGCAGCAGGAAGGGGAGTGGCGGGGTGGTGGCTCTGTAAGCCCTTCGGGGCAATAAATTATCATCATCAGCAAATGGCAATGTGGTTCATCCTGTCGCCGCTCCACTTCCCCCAGCAATCCAGCAATCCAGCAGCCCGGCAGCCGCTCCCAATTTCCAATTGCCATCCGGTCGTTGCGATTCCCGATTCAGGACCCCAGGGCCCGCCAGTCGGGGACTTTGTCCCGGCCACGTAGGTAATGCGGCATTAATTAAATCAAGCATCATTAAGCGGGGGGCGTGGCTTGTGGGCGTGCTGCGGTCGGGCTCTAATGGCAATTGCATTCGGATTTGCAGTGCACCGTGGTTAGGAGCACTTTAGACCGGTTGAGCTGTCAATAGCAGACCGCAAGAGACTTCAAAGTTTGATTTGCTGAACTGCGGTTCATTAATTTAAGGAACTACTACAAGGAAAAACTGAAAAAATTATGATGGGCATCTAATTTTAAAGATGTAGTCTATAAGCATACACTTGGATTATATAAACGCTAATTTCTTTTAATGAAAAAATATTAAGAATGTTACTTTAATTGATTAATCTTAGTTTCATAGAATTGTTGGCATTATTTTCCATTTATCTTATTGTTATTATGTTCACTATTACTTTTGCTTTAGGTGCATGTGTTTTTGCTAGTTTTATTTGCCATTTGAATAGCCATGATATTGCTACCACTGTTCAAAGGGTAAATTGAATATAAAATCCTGCACACAAAATGTTTTAGCTTCTGTGGCCATTGCGTAAAATGTAATTTTGTGAGCACGGTTTTATGGTTGGCGCTTCTGTCTAAATGGCTTTCTGTGTGAGTGTGTGTGTGAGGGGATGGAGGGTGTCCAATTGGCCATGTCGGAAATTTCTAAGGTAAAATGATTTTTCAATAGAGTTCGGTCCCCCGTGGGCAGAAATTGCATAAGTAGCTGACATGGGCAGAGCGATGGGAGCCCATGTTTTTTGGGCAAGCACCCCACTTAAGTGCATTGTCTTTCAGCCAAGCGGAATTCCACTGGGCGCCTGGCAAGTGGCCAACAGCTGGCGCAGCTCTCGGGTGCCGCTCCTTCTGGGAGGAGGTTAAACAACAGCCAATGCACTTCGCCAACACCCACATATTCGAGCGCACACATTGGCAACATGTTACACGCAGTATTGTACACGGTAAAAAAATAGGGTGTTCTTTTGGGAGATTTAAAAAAATAATGATTTCGTTCGTTTTGAACCTCACTAACAGGCTAAGCTTTCGAAATTATTGAACAATTTACATACATAGCCATGTGTAAATATTTGAATTTTAAATATTTCTTTCCAATAAAATTCTTTAACATTTTGTAAGGAAGTTATTAGAAGAGCATTTCTTTAAACTGATAATATAAGGCACTCAATATTTTCTTCTATAACTTCGCTAAAAAACTTACAATTGATTGACAATAAATATTCGAATGCACTTGGTCTTGTGGTTAAGAATTTTAAAAGAAAGCTATCATTCCCATGATGCGGTAAAAAAATAAATCAAAATCGCCATTTTCCTTTATTAAGTATTAATAGTTTTGGAACTTAAAACAAATCCTTTTAAACATATCCAAGACAAATGATTTCAAATGCTTTTATTATATTCTTTCTTTGTTGGTATTTCAGTACTTTATCAATTTAAAAAGAAAATTCTTTGTAAATAACGAAAGATCTTTCATTGTAGACTTAGAAAAACAATTAAATTGTAATAGAGGGTCAAAATACTTTTCTCAGTGCAGCATCATTGTAGACATTAAGCCTCCGGGGCTTAGATGGTAGGCTTTGGACGCTTTGGCTGCCAGCGAGCAGCGGAGCATGGCCAAAAAGGGAGGGGAATGGGGGGGGAGTGGATAGAGGATTGCCAGCCGAGGAGCATCCTATTTATTGCCACCGCTTGTAGCAGTCATTATTCACTCGGCAAGGACCGGCTCTTTAAATTTCATTCGGTAAATGTAATTCGATTTAAGTTCCGCTCTCGATTTGCCATTTTTGCCGCTTGCCATTCTGGTGGCAATGAATTTTTCATAGTTTCAGCTTGGCTTTTGTGCTCTTTGTTGGGCTGCATTTCAATTGAATAAGCGGGCAAACAAAAAGTCCTGAAAAATAAAAAGCAGAGCAGCATGGAAAGTTTAATGCAAAAAAAAAAAACAGGGAGGAAGGGGATAAAAACAAACGGAAGTGCATGTTTTGCATATTGCTTTGAGCCCTCAACAAATATGGAAAATTTCCTGCTTCGCTGGGCGTGTGTATGTGCGAAAATCAAATTTGCTGGCCCTCAGCTTCCGTTTCGCCCCGGTTTTGCAAACCTCCAAACACCGCATTTCATTTGTTGCCAGCAATCGTCCATGCAAACGGCGAAACTTTGACTAAATGCAATAAACTGACCAAGTGCCAGGCCATTTTGCCACTGTTGCGGTCCAGAAACCCATCCATCCGCCCACCCAATCCCCCCCAGAATTTCGCTGGCCAAGCTTTGGACTAAGCTCTGCCAACTCAGCGGCATTTTTGTACCCGGCATTCATTGAGTTCAAGGGTGTAACAGATACTACGGTTCCTAAAAGTATTCATGATTTATGGACAACAAATATCTAGTTGTCTAATGGAGTAAGGCAAAAGTTTTTGAAACTGGAAATCTATTAACTCCAAGAAAGTTAACTATATTTTAAACGTAGGCCACAGTTGGAGATCCATTGGAATATATATTGCAAAGATTAGGAATTCAAAGTTTTTTATATTTATATTTTATCGATAACAGATCTCAAGTATTTGTTATTTTTAAACGATAGAATTTCTGTATGCATTGAAGATAATTCCATTTACCAATTGATATTCCAAAGAACACAAAAACTGGGTAACTCTAAGTCGACTTTCACCTTCCTTTATTTTGTTTCGCTTCTCTAGAATAAAATGCAATTTGCCCATTTTTGCATAAACCCCAATTTCAGTTTCACTCTCGCTGCCAGGAAACGAATGAGATATTGCTATAGCAATCTGCGAATGCGAGTCCGCACTGGATTTTGGCCAGCATCCATGGTTAGAGAGGAGCAGCAAAGCGCTTTGACCAGCGACAGGTGAAATCAAATCCCCCTGCCGGCGGACATTGGCCAGAGGATATGGTTGTCATACAGTGCTCAGGAATTCACGAAATGCCCCAAGGACAACACACGTAATACTGGCATGCCAGACACCTACCTGGATTTACGTGAAAGGACGCTCAGCTCCGGGGGCGGCATCTAACAGACTCAAATCGTTGAATGTTTCACAATTTTCCAGCACTTGGCTGCAAGTGGCGTTAATTAAATCAAAATCGATGGCCAACCGATGTCCCAGGGATTCTGGCACCGTGTGTGCGTCCGGGGAATCCCTTTTGAGCACCGGGTGGTAGTTGGAGTCCAGTTGGCAGCAGGGGATCCGGGGCACATCCTGATCCCGGGCTCCTGCCATCACCGCCTGCAGTTCCTCCGCACTGCAGTCGAACTCATCGTACTCGTCGTCCATCAGCGATTGCTCCGAGTAGCTCTCATCGTCGTCGTCGCAGTCAAAGTAACCGCTCTGTGAAAGAGCCAGTGAATTGGTGATTGGTTGGTCTTGCTTCAAGATTGAGCCCTTGATTGGCGGTGCCAAAGGAGAGCTATCGTCCCATGGATGGTGGTATTTTAAATAAAGATTGAGCTAACCTTTAACCATGTATATACAGCTTCAAAATAAAGCCTTAAGTCTTTAAGCTCCATAAATATAATGGACTCTTTAAATTAACAGATTCACACGTTCAGGGAATGCTGATCAAAAATTATCCTCATTTATAAAAAAATAAGCAACCAGCAATAGTTTAGTTTCGTTTGATTAGTAAATCCAAAAAATGGTTCTTCTCAAAAACTGACTTTTTTGTTTGTGTGGTTTTTGTCTTTTTAATTTGACTTCTTTATGATTTTAGCTTCAGCATATCGAACAATATAATCTGTAATTTTATCTTTTATAATATGAAGTTACTGCTAATTACTTAGACCCGTATATATAATTTATGTTAAAAGTAAATACATTGAATTTCAATAGGAAGTTAATCATATGTTGTAAAATCTTCTAGGGTGAAGTAATTCTAGTATGTGGTTAGTTTAGTTTTTTATTAAAAAAAAAAACAAAGAGTTAAACTGAAAATGTTTGAGATCCTGTTCTTTTAGAAAGTGTGGTTTTAATAGTAGACGGGTGAAAAGAGCCAGTGAATCAAGGCACAAGCTGGTATGACTGACACTATAAGCCCCCCTTCTTCTCCATTCTTTTGAACAGTTTTGAATTCTGGAGACCTCGGCTATATCCCATTATTCCCATTGTCACTCACCTGGCAGTCCAGGCATCGGCAATTATCACAGAGGCTGCAACTCAGGCCCAAAATGTCGGCTGCCTCCTGGTAAAGTTCGAAACTTGATTTCACCTGCTGTTGTAGTTGTAATTGTATTTGATGTTGTTGCTGCTGTTGTTGTTGTTGTTGCTGCTGCTGCTGCTGGCTGTTGGTCAGTGTTGTGTTGTTGTCCTCATTATGCACGCTCCAGTTGGTCAATTTATTCAGCTGCCTTCCGCCAACACCACCATTTCCATTTCCATTTCCAGCCTCTCGACTGTTGCTCTGATTTTTCAAGTTCCCACCATTGTTGCTGTTGTTGTTGTTGTTGTTGTTGCTGTTGTTGCCGGTGGGTGGTGGCTCCGCCTCATTGCTGTCGAGCATGTTAAATGAAAGTTTATTTAGCTTTTGGTTGACTAAACTAAACGCGTATCAAATAGCTGCAAGTGGCGCGGAAGGACTCACAGCGATTATAAAGGACGAGGAGTGGAGGAAGTAAAGCTTACACACCACCCCACTTCCCCCGTTCAAATTTATATAAAGTGGAGGGGGGATTGTAGCCCAGGGAGCAGTTATGGTAACTGATGTGTTCAGTACATGGAAATTAAACCTCTGTATATCAGTTTCATACTAGAAAATAAACCAAAATACTAAATTCTGCAGCAGCCACAGCATGAAAAAAGAGTTTTCTGACGTGAACACAAAGCCTTTGTGTTTCTAATTCCCACCCATATGGGATTTTCCATATCGATTCACCGAATATAACGCTTGCAAGAGTGTTTAAAGTTGGCCTATTTCATTCTCGTTAAATTTAGTATCCCCAAAGTATGCAATGATTTTTTATATTGTCAGGATTCCTTACTATTTGTTTTTACTAGCCAATAATCCAGTTTTAAATCATTTAAAATTTGTTTGGTATATTCCCTTTTTTTTAAATAAAGTTGTTCCATTAAACGAATAATACGGCTATATTTTTAAAATTTTTTCCATCTAACCAAATTTGTTAATAGTTTCTGTTAAAAGCTAAAATATCTCTTTGGAGTTTCACAACAATTTTGCTGTTGATTTTAAAACAGGGTTTTTATTTATATTTTGCTTAAGTCTTATAAATTCAGATTAAGGGAATAAGGTATAAAATTATAAGAATTCAATCATTGAACAAAATAAAAAGGTAGATGCAAAAAACCGCCAAAGACTGAGCGATAACAAAGGCACACCGATCGATGAAAGCGATAAATCATGGCGGTTGCAGTTTTGCAACTTTTCACTTCCACCGGTAGGCAAAAAAAAAATGGAAAATTAAAATAAAGCGAGCAATTTAATTTGCGGCGACAATCGGACATTGTCTCACAGCAGAATTTCCAGCTAGTGGCCACAATAAATTAAGCCACCCTTCGGTGGGCTTAAATGTGAGCTGGGGAGCATTTAAATTGCATCAGCGGAAAAGCAGGCTCCACGAGGCAACAAAAAGCGGCAGGAAAAATGCAAAAGTGAGTAACTTTGCACAACAAATTTCCGTAGTTATTTTGCGACACAAGTTGACGGAGTCATTCTTGTCAGTTTCGCTGGTGTCGCCATCCAGAAAGTTGATGAATGTGCGCCCGAGAATTTCCGCCGTGAAAATGCCTAAGAAAGAAGAGGGGAGTGCTCTGCATTTTTTTTCCGGGGGCCTGACGTTTACTAATTAAATGCGCACAGGGTACTAATAAATCAAAGCGAGAACCCGCCCTTTTTCCCTGATGCAATTAATGAAATTTTCCCAGCCGCCTTTGCCAGCGCAAATTTTCAGTGAGCGAACTTTTGACATCATTATTGCAAAAGGGGATAAGGCAGGTTTGCAGAACAAGGAGTGGGTCTCGAAAACTTTGCGTATGAGCGATGACTGGTGGAGGCAGCCTGGTGTGACTTGTAAGTGCAACTTGGGCATTAAGTTCCCCAGAATATGATTATTGCACTTCAATATGTACATTTATGGGCTGGGCCCTCGCTTTTAATCCACTTTTTAAGCCCTCTTTAAGCCCCAATGCTTTCGCCTCACTTTATGTTTATGCCGAGCGCGTTAATTTTTCAATTTCGCAAATGACTGCTGGGCGGAAAATGCGGAAAAGCAGCAGGAAAATGGGGTGAGCAACTTTGCTAAGCGATGATGATCAAAACTTATGACTTCGTGAACAACGCCGCAAAGTTTCGCCGTTGCAACAAAGTGTCCGCCGACAGATAATTGAATGCGCTTAAAAGCCGCAGCAAAAACAAGAAAATCGCATTTGGCCATTAAAAAGCCACCAGCAGGAGATATGAGAAATGACCAATCGATATGAGGAAAAGTACGTTGGATGGTTCCAATGATTTGCCCGGAAATAAGTGGCAACTAACGCCAATTGCTGCACTTCAATAATTAATTAAGAAATAATCGAATGCCTGCGACTGCTGGAATTCGAACAGCTCTCAATCAACTTAATGAGAAACCACTTCGGCATGGCAACTATGACCGCAGAACCACCATCGCACCACCACTACACCACCACACCACCGCACCATCACTTGTCCCCTTAGATTGCCATCATAAAAACTTGCCACAGTTTGCAGCGCGTTGCAAGATGCCTTATAACATTTATGGGAATTTATAAGTTTTTGCGGCGGCGAGAAGATGGCTCCGCTGACACTAACCCACATACTGGAACATACAACTACACTCGAAAAATAATGTAAAAAAAATATTGGGAAATATTTTCTGTGTAGATGAAAGAGTAATGGTATTTCTAGTATAACAATGTGACAGAGGACTTTGAGAAAAGCAAGGACATACATTTGTGGCTGCTCCTTATTTCCAGCAAAAATGCAATATAAGTAGGTTGTTTGATAAGTTCTTACAACTCTTTAGTTCATACAATAATAAAGTATTTTAATTAAAGTTTTAATGACCGTTGTTATGTTTAAAGATGAGTGTTTTGGGCCAATACTGCAAATTTCCGGTTAACATATGAACTATTTTTGTATGAAATTTCTGATGAATATATTTTCTGGCACCTATTTAACTTTATCTTTATATACAGCTGGGTTTTAAAAAGTTGTAATATTTTAAGGTTTTGCAATGTTCATATTTAAATCAATTTTAAAAATATTTCTGTTTAGAAATTAAACCAGTAGCAGTTCTTTAAATTTATTGGCAAAAAGATTTCTTCTACAAGTCAACATTAATAATTGCCTTTAAGGATACTGCTATTATTTTGAGCCCAGGTGTATATCAGATTTCCGCGAGTGCCTGGGTGTTACATACCTGATGGCGCCAGCATCTTCCGCTGCTCCGGCGTTGCTGCGCCATTTTTCTTCTTCGAGATATTTGAGAAACTTTGTCTTCTTGGCAATAAGCGCTGATTTGACATTGGTGCATTTCTTCTTCGGCAACAGAGGGAGGCCACCTGGCCCAGGTCCTCCTGGTGGTGCTCCTCCTCCTCCTGTGGAGGTAACCACTCCCGCTGGGCCATCGAGCGATTCGCCACTCCGGCTCCGATTCCGGCCGTTTTGGGTTACTCCGCCTGCCGCTGACAGGCGGCTATTGTTCGGGTTGCTATTGTTATTGCTGCTGCTGCTGCTGCCGTTGATGTTGCTGCTGTTGATGTTGCTGCTGTTGGTGTTGCTGCTGCTGCTGTTGTGGTTGCTGTGGGCGTGGGTGACATTTTGGCAGGCGACGCCGACGCTGCAATTGAACAATTTTTGCAGGGCCGCCGTTGCCGGTGAACACATTGCGGTTGACATTGATGTAGCGACAGGATTTACGTAGTTTGATGCGCTTCCCGCTGCCGCATCCATGGCTGTTGTTGTTGGTGTTGCGGCTGCTGCTGTTGCTGCTGCTCCTGCGGCACTGCCAAAAGTTTTGAATTTATGCTGCAGGACGCCACTCGAGCAAGTTGCCTCAATTGGATTTGCCGCTCTGCTCCGGCTGCCATTTATTTCACGCTTTGTTGCCGCATATGTGCCATAGTCCTGTCAAGATGGTAGATATATTTGGGGCGAGAGGACCAAAAAAAGGACGAAAGAAGCTCAGATAGTTGTGCAAGTGGATGGCCCAATAAGTGGACTTGGACCCGCATCGCAAAGCACTCACCCCATATGCACCGTAGCTGGCATTAAGCACATAAATCGAATTTTGATTGCTGCACTGGAAGACCATGTCGTCCATCGTTTGAGCTGCACATAGAACGACAAAGAGGTTTGATTTATTTCAATTGTACTGCAAATCAATTTAATATGTTTTATATTGGATTTATTACAAATTGATGTCTTTAAACATTTCGTCAAATAAGGGTATCACAGCGACAAAGGTTACTACCATATACCTTTAAAATACAAATTTATTTTTGATGCAATTTTTACAACTATCACTTAATCATTTCATTTTCTTTATTCAACATAATCAAACATCAGTGGTAGTATTAAAAGATTAGAATATGTGAATCTCTACCCAAAGTCTGACCTATTGAAACCGTATCCCAAAGTAAGATTGGATTACTGGCTTTTTGGGGTCGGGTCGAAAAATGTTGCTTAACAAAATTATGCAAATTTAACATTGAAATCAAACAGCAGACGGCGTCTCTGTTTCAACTTTTTGCATTCGAAAAGGGAAAATGCCGGGGAAAAGGACACGAAGGGCGGTGAAAAAGGCGAAAATTTAATTTAAATTCTTATTGCTGCCTGCTGATTGTGATTGTTTGTGGGTGGATGGGTGTGTGGAGTAGTCGTGTTGCGGTGTTGTTTTCCTGCTTACCCATTGAGCTTTCAATAAATTTGGTTTCGTAGATTTCCTCGGCCGTTGCCGAGGAAGGTGTTGATTGCTGGCGGGATGCTGGATCCTTGCCCGGACGGATCCTGTCCAGCTCCTGTTGGCAATCAAAGCTGCAATTACCACCGCCGCCGTACACGTCGAATTGAAGCGGAAACTTATGCGCCTGCTGGAGCGTGTAAACGTTGACTGAGCGCTTCTCGTGGCCAACGATTCCGCCGATTCCGATTTCGCCTTCGATTCCCCGGATTCCGATTCCTCCTCCGGTGCTCCGCTTGGTCCTCCCGCTGGTCCTTCCAGAGCTGAGCCAGCTCGTTAGCCACAGGGATTGGATGTCTGTGAAGTGAAGGGGCACAGGCATAAGCAAATTTCAATTCAGATTTGTTCGGTTCACGCATTCGGTTTATTGTTGCGTTACTTTTGGATGGAAATGCGAAATGGTTAACTCGGCCTGGCCAAGCATGATAAAATTTCGTTTGAAAGGCAAGTTCATTGAAATGAACAGCCTTCCCTGCCGCCCATCCATCCATCCACCCACCCACTCACTTTCACTGGCAAACACGCAGAATAATCAAAATAATCCTTTTTTTGTTGGCCTGGCTCCTTGGGGCTTAGTTACGCAGTCCGGAGACCCTTCTATTGTTGGCTTAGAGAGATTGTGCGGCTCGGTCCGGCAGCAATTCCGACAATTCCGACAATTACGCATCGCATACGCAATATAATCGCCGTTGCCCAGGACAATCGACACAAGTGGAAGCCAAAGCCGAAGCCGTGAGCTCTGAAATCCTAAGCCTCGGTTGAGTGCGAACAATGACTGAAATGGAAATATGATTTCCGTGCAATTTATACTCGAACAATTGGTAAATGCACTGCATATTTCCACAGAAATGGCCACGTTGTTCTACTTAAATTAATTGTATAGATCTATTTTTGCCACAGTTTCCACTTATGATTTAATTGTTATCCAATTACTGATATTATATTGTGTTTTCATAGGCAAGCAAGAGCTCATATTCGTTTGTGGAATATAAAACGCTTTATTGAGGTGAAGCACCTAATTATAATTTGGAGCTGAGTTTAATGTGCTCTTTAATGATATACATTTATTTTCACTATTTATTATTAACATGACCAATTAAGCTGTTAATTAAATACATTAACTGACTAATAATAAACTGATGTTTATCAAGCAAAACCAAGAGCACTTAATTTTGGTGCAAAATTAGAGATACGAAAAATGCATTTAACTCCAAAACACGTGCATAAATATAAATGTAAGACTTAAATTATGCTTTCTTGTGGTAACATTGGAGCTGTTTTTAATAGTTTATTGCCTTTCTTGATTCAGCAATTGCAATATGCTGTTTTGTGTTATCCGATCCCAATCGAGAAATAATTTACATACATGTTGGTCTCATCATTCAAGATTTAATCATTATTAATTCAGCTCAACATATATCGAATATGCATACACAGGAGAAAACCTAGTGTTCATATCAAAAGCTTTAGGTGCGTAAAGAAATCTCTAGTGATTGAAAATCAATAAAAATAAATTATTTATATTTTCATATTCTCATATGTGCAAGACAATAATTTTGATTGTAGGAGGTAAAATTCAAAGCCAGTTTAACGTCATCTATTTATGTTTAGGTTATTTTGGATTTAGGCACAAAAAACCTTAAGTATTCTACACTTATAAGAGACTATTGTAATATTTATTACAAAGGGTTAAAGTAATATAACTGGAAAAAACAGTTCAATATTGCTGACCAATTTGTTAGACATTTTTTGAGCGTACATGTGTGCAGATGAACTTGAATCGGTGAAGCGTTTAACATTTGTATCCCTATGTGGCACTGCCGTAAATCCTGGCAGCCGCAACTTGGTGACCCCATTCATCAAAGTGTCGTAGCAGCTGGCGAGCAGAAATCTTTTGTCATTTGCTGTCAAATCGCAGGGATTTGATGAGGGGCTGGGGGCCATAGAGAAAAACTAATACGTGCTGGAAGTCAACAGAGCAACATGTAAAACATCGGGGAGTGATAAAAGTTGAATGGGTAGTGGGCGGAAATGGAGGTGGAAGTGGAAGTGGAAGTAGAAGGGTTCACCTGCTGCTCGTCGAGCATCTCTAATGAGCGGCAATAAAGCAAATGTGGCAGGTGACACGGGCACACACACGTATCAAACAATTTGCACATTATAATTGTTGACACGCCCCCCTTATGCGTGGCTATATGGAATATATAAATATGGTTGTGTGTTTATATATATATCCCTGTCGTATGCGTGTCATTAGTGGGCATCTGAATAGAGCCAGAAATCCTGCCTTGATTCCATTTTATTTTGTGCTATTTGTTGGCCATCACCTCCCCCCTCCCTTGCTCCATCAAGCTAATAATAAAACTTTTATTTATTTTGGGGATTTTCGTCAACTGACCGAAAGTAAACAAAATGCTGGCAAGCAAACAGGCCTACAGAAATAATAAGCCTGTATAGAAACAAGGGGGGGAGTGGGTGGTAAATGGTTGATGTTGCAAGGGGGAGGGGGGTTGGACAAGTGGGTGGCGTGTCCAGTGGAGCGTGGCATATTTGTCATAATCAGCGTTTAGGCATAAGCATAAATTTGAATGAGTGCGCACGGGGGAAGCGCAGGAACGGGGGTCAAGGTCCATATTGTATAGACATCCTTATCATACATTAGGCACTGGTATATTCCCCCATTCCCTTTTTAGACAGAGATGAGCACTGAAAACACATTTCCCATCACTGTGATTGTCAAGTGATTTTATAGAAAAAAGTGATTTAACTGCAGGTGTATATTTAGTTTTTTTGGAATTTATTTACAAAAAAAAAATAATGCCTATAATAAGTTTTAGAAACAACAATTTCTAATAATAATAATATTAAGATGCATCTTTTTTTATTATTTATGAAAATAAAATTAAAATAAAATTCTGAGCTCTTAAAGAAGATCCACAAGAAATAATAAAAAACTTGCAATACAAAATAAATTTGAATAATTTCTGTTGTTCCCCATTACTTTCGAAGTGTGTAAAAGTAGAGTTTAAACAGTACTTTGAAGTTTTGGAATCTGTCCCCTATCGATGGGTGAAAAATTCCGAGTACTCCACGCGAGCGTAAGCAAACAAAGAAGGACTCATCTATGCGGGGACATGACTGACCCGCACCCCAGGATCAGGAATTTGCGATTGACAGGAGCCGAGTTGCCGGCGGACTGGCTTTGTGAGCAAATATTTGACTGAGAAATTCCGGGTACTGCAGGAGGTCGCGAAACTCAAAAATGCGAGATGGAATGGGAGGACCGAGGCTATCTGGCCATGTCCATATTTGGGGGCCATAAATTTGATGTGTGCATAAAAAATGTTTTTCGATTTCCTTCGACACACATAAATTCTTGGCCCCGGTCACGTACGAGCAGGTGTTGGCCGCCAGCTCGGGTATTGTCTTTGGGCCACTTTCCCCGAGATCCTGTCGACAAGGCGGCACATCGCCTGGAATCAATAAGTGGGCCAGAACATTGTTTTCTCGTCCCCCATTGCCTACTTTATTTTTTTTTTCCATTTATTTATTGCGTTTTGTTGATTTTCGGCCAAAAAAAAAATCTAACCAAAACGTTTTCCGTTTGTCATAAATTTTGGGGGCCACGCTGCCCATGGAAACACATTTAAACAGAAATTTTAGCCGATTTGCTTTGTATGTTCTGGTATTTTTCCGAAGCTTGTTTTGCCGGCGATTGCATAATAACATCGTTTGTGGAATGGCCCACAATGGCAATAAATTAGCATTTTATATGGAATGTGGTTTCGGCGCGTGTGAGTGTGTGTCCTTTTCCACTATGCAGTTTTCTAAGCCTTTTATGGCGCGATTATCGGGCAGAAACATTTTTGGCATTCCAATAAGCAGTTATTCAAAGCGGATTTGACCGGCCCCAAAGGATCCGGCTCAGGATTTACTTCTCGCAAAGGACTCCTCGCAGATGCCTCAATTTATGTTGCATACATTCCGGTGCCATTCAATCTCTCAGTCGAACCGAAACGGCAAATATTTATGAGGTTTTGCATTCAGTGCTCTGACTCTTGTTTATTTATTTTAATTATAAACTCATACAGCAAAGAGAGCAAGTTAAATTGAAATTCTGCATGGCAGGATAACAGGAATATAAAAGAAAGAAAACTCAAACGCAAACACTGGCAACAGTGGCCAAGTGTTTGGCTCAAGGCGTTCCAAGAGCATTTCATGGATGTTTGTATACCCTTGCAGAGAGTATTATAATTTCATTCAAAAGTTTCCAGTCTTACGAAGTATATAAATATTCTTGGTCAGCATCACCAGGCTAATCGATCTAGCCATGTTCATGTGTCCGTCTCTACGCAAACTAGTCTCAAAAAGTCGTCTGTCTTTTGGATATAGTATCGAATCAGCCTACTACATTTAATTCGATTTCAAAGTTAAATACTTATTAAGACTTGTCCTTCGACCCTCTAAAAATCTGCTTTCAAATTTATCATTTTACCTTTGATCAATTTTTTTAGCCAGTTTCAAGTTAGTTACTTTTAAGTTTCCAAAGAACTGTTAAAAATGTGACCCAGAATTGGACTTCTAGAGCCCATAACTTTACCAAAGTTAATCCGATCTTAAGGTGACATATCTCTTAAGACTTGTGTCTTAATTCTCTAAATATTTGCATTCAAACTTGGCATTTTAGCGTTTATCAATTTTTTGACCCAGTTTCATGTTAGGTGACCGACAATTGGACTTTTGGCTGCATAACTTTACCAAATTTATGAGGATTATAGTGACATACCTTAAGAATAAAAATTAAAAACTGCCAATTTTTGTCCTGGTGTTTCAAAACAACAATTTTTTGTAGTACCCAAATGTTGTATAATATTGCGAATGGTATGGTTGTAAATTAGATCTTTAAGAGTATTTGTGTATTTGTCTTCTAAGCTTGGTTTATTTTTTCAGTTTTATTTCCTCATCACTTTCTACCTTCTTTGCGGCCTGCTGCCCACTTGAATAAGAGAAGGTGGGTGGGAAAGTTTTGTGGAATGCAGGAAATATGCCAAGTGCGGCGCCTCCCCCCCTGCTCTTCCTGCTCCCCCCGCTCCTCCTTTGGGATATCACCACCACATGCACACCGCTCTGGGCACTCGAAATCACACACACCGACTGACTGGGCAAATATTTGCGCTTGTGTGCACGGCCGCGAGAGCTGGCAACCATTATTATCCGTTTGATTAGAGGAAACACAACATTTTGGCCTAATTAGAGTCAGAATGTCAAAACATTGACTTAGGCTATTTGGCCGCACATCAAAGAAGAGCCTCCTGCGAAGGAGATTTCTGGCGGCACTTGAATTCTAATGGCAAATGGCTGGCCAAAGAATGGAAATGGAAAGGGAAAGGGAAAGTGAAAACAGACTCGAGAACAGCCAAGTCATCAGCAACAAAGCCAAGGACGAGGACGAGGACGAGGACGAAGCCGAGGACAAACCATTCAAATGGCCCCAAACCCATGAGTTGCCAATGAAGTGCACAAAAAACGACTTCAAGTACTTGGCCATTTCGGTTCTGTCCACTCCACCTCCAACTATATTAGGCGCCCTTCTCCATTTTTGCCAATGTAAACACATTTGATATCCAACAAAAACAAAACGGATGGAACAAGGGCAGTGGCGTAAGTATTTTTATTAAGGATGTAGTTTTAAAATGTTTATTACTTTCCAACAATTTCCTTTACGAGAAATGAGCATATTTCCAAATGGAAGCTTTATTATTTGTTAAATTTATTAAAGTACATTTTTATAAAACATTTTTGGCACAATATCAAAGTTAATAACAATTCTTTTTTATTTTTGAATATGTAATTTTTCCTATTAGCAATAAAATAAAAATATTACTTTTCCAAATTAGGAAACCTTTTCCATCGTTTCATTAAATACAGATTATTTCAGAGTTCAAGCTAATACTCTTATTTAGTAAAAAATGTAATATCGAATAATTCCCCAGGGGGTTTATCATGTCTACGCCCCTGCCACAAAACAACAGTTACAAAGAAAGAAAGATTTAATTCCCTACAACAAGGCGGGTGAGCACTCGAGCTCAAAAGAGAGAGCGAAAGATTGATTTTGGTCTCATTTGATATTCCTTCCTGACCGCTGAATCAAACGGGATTTTGCCTGCCAACCGATTTGTTGGCTTTTTGTCTCTATCATCCTCTTTGCCCCTCTCTATCACTCGCTTCCTGCCAAGCAGTGCAATAATTTCCCGTTAGCCGCTCACTAAATGCAAGCAAATTTTGTCATTTGGCCGGAACGTGAGTTGGTTGCCCAAGGACCTCGACTTCGTCCTGGACCTCGCGCACTAGAGCGAGTTAGCTGTCGGCACACTAAACTTTTCCAACCTGCAAACTCCAAGCAATTTCATTATGCTTACACCACTCAAACGCACAGAATTATACAAGTGTGTTCACCTCAGAAGGTTTCTTGGGCACTTGGAAAAAATTATCTTTAAGTTGGCGAAATCTTTATTAAATATCTCAATAAGTTTGCATTTCGAATTTCTTATAATTGAATAAGGAGTACAAATGTAACACATTATAAGAACTGCTTTCCTATTTACTTTAAAAACTCAACAAAATTTTAAACTTTTTCAAAACTCAATATTACAAAAACTCATATTACCAAAAATATTTTAAAAATTGACATCTGCAGTTGTTAAAATGAATACTCCAGTCACTATTAATTACAATAGTCCGGTTAAAGTAAATAACAAATATTCTCGGTGTTGGAAACGTCTATTTTCGGGACATTTCTATTCCAGTGTAAGATGCAGTAAGTGACAGAAGTTCCATTTCGGTTTCAGTTTGGGTTTGAGTTTGAGTTTGAGTTTGAGGTCACCACTGGAGAAAGATCCCAGGCACGTAGCTCCCTGTGCTCCTTAAGCAACCCCTAACTCCCCCCTTACGCTGTCGTCGCTAAGTCCTTTATAATAAATAGTTGAGTCACTTAAGGGGATTAATGTTGAAATTAGTTTATGCCAATGAGATTAGGCATGACATGCCGAATGCCAAGTTCATCTCAGATGAGAACTGAATCTACATCTGCTCGAAAATGTTGATGGCATTTGCTTTCCCATTTATGTATGTGTATACTACTCGAAATATGGATTTTGTTTAATATGAAAAACCAGTAAAGTAATCTTCCCACATATGGTTTACTAATAGATAACAGTTATCTTTTTCGGCTAAATCCAGTTTGTAAGTGCACAAAAAAAAGTTTGCTAATGGAGTTGCCAAAAAATATGCATAGAATCAGATAGGTTTTTTTCCGATTCCGATCTATAAATAGATCTTAGTGACGTCATTTGTTTGTGTTTTCATTTCATCATGAAGTAAACATTTTCAAAACATTCATATCTCGGTCTTAAATACTGAAATAATAACCTTTAAAATAATACAATGTTTATGTTTCTTATAGGTAGAACTCTTCTATAGGCATGTGACTTGAAATACAAATTGATACGTAAACCCGCTCTCTTAAGTTTGCTTGATACTCCCTTAATCAGGTAAACCCATGCACACAATGTGTGTGCCACACATCTATACTTTTTGCCGGTTTTTTTTCTCCCGCTATATATATTAATCTCTCTCTTTAAAAATCGCGTATATATAAATAAAGAGAGCGCGTTTTGTTTACTTCAGTGGCGTTTCGGCTGTCGACCGGCGAAGACGCTCTCTGTTTTTTTTGGAAGCTCCACCACGCTGCGCAGTTCGATTAAAAGTCCCCCGTTCTCTCCCATAATCCCCGAAATTTTATCATGGTTTTTGTGGAGTTAATGATATTCTTGGCCTTCATCGGTTTGTTTTTGTACAAATGGTCTGTCAATAGCTTCGGCTACTTCACGAAACGGGGCGTGGCCCATGACAAGCCCATTCCTCTGCTGGGTAACATTCCCTGGTCGGTGATGATGGGCAAGGACTCGTACATAAAGCACAGGTGAGTGAAATACCACACAAAAACATATTATCATGCTATAAAAATTGCTTATTTCTCTCTTTAATCCCCAGCATTGAACAGCACATGCGACATAAGCAGCACAAGGCCTATGGAGTGTACAACCTGCGTGATCCTTTGTACTATCTCGCCGATCCGGAACTCATACGTCAGGTGGGCATCAAGAGCTTTGATAACTTCGCCAATCATCGCAAGGGAATTACTGATGGATTCAACGAGACAGGTGTTATGTCCAAAAGTCTGCTTAGTCTGCGGGATCGTCCCTGGAAACAGATGCGCAGCACCCTCACGCCCACATTTACCAGCCTCAAGATCCGCCAGATGTTCGAGCTCATCCAGTATTGCAATGTGGAGGCAGTGGGCTTTTTGAAGCGACAGCAGGATGAGGGCAATGCGGAACTGGAGCTAAAGGACTTCTTTACGCGCTACACGAATGACGTGATTGCGACGGCTGCCTTTGGCATCCAGGTGAACTCCTTCCAGGATCCCAACAACGAGTTCTTCTCCCTCGGTCAGCGCATCTCGGAGTTTACTTTCTGGGGCGGACTAAAAGTAATGCTGTATATCCTGATGCCCAAGTTGATGAAGGTAAGATATTATAGTGTTATTGGATGAGAACCCTTATTTAAAAACCTCCTTTAATCTTCAGGCTCTGCGAGTACCCGTGATGGACATGAACAACGTGGAGTACTTCAGGAAACTGGTCTTTGATGCCATGAAGTACCGCAAGGAACAGAACATTGTGCGACCCGACATGATTAACCTGCTTATGGAGGCCCAAAAGCAGTTTAAAAAAGATCAAGAAGCCTCTAAGGAAGATGCAAGTGGAAACCAAGAGGACCGTGTCAAGTTCAACGATGTGGATCTCCTCGCCCAGTGCGTGCTGTTTTTCTCGGCGGGATTTGAGACGGTGGCCACCTGCCTGAGCTTCACCAGCTACGAACTGCAGGTAAATCCCGAGGTGCAGGATAAATTGTACGACGAAATTCTGGCCGTGAAGGAGGAACTGGGGGATAAGCCCCTCGACTACGACACTTTGATGGGCATGAAGTATTTGGATTGCGTGGTCTCCGAATCGCTGAGAAAGTGGCCGCCGGCCATCGTTCTGGATCGCATGTGTGGTGCTGATTTCGAGCTAAAGGATGAGCAGGGCGAGGTGGTGCTCAATCTGCGCAAGGACGACTTGGTGCACATTCCCGTGATAGCACTGCATCACGATCCGGATAACTTCCCGGAGCCGGAGGCATTCCGACCGGAGCGATTTGACGAGGAGCACAAGCACGAGATCCGGCAGTTCACATATTTGCCCTTCGGAGTGGGCCAACGTAGCTGCATTGGCACCCGGTTGGCCCTCATGGAGGTCAAGTCCCTGATATTCCAGTTGGTCCTGCGCTATCGCCTGAACCCCACGGATCGCACTTCACCGGATATGATGGACAGCATTGCCGGTTTTCGCCTGCAGCCGCGGGAATTGTTCTGGTGCAAACTGGAGTCCCGTGAATCCGCTTAATTAATAATACGCCCCCAAACACATATAAATAATAATAAATGGAAAGAGCAAACGAAAACGAAAAAAAAAACGGCAATTTATTTCATTTGGAAACCCTTGTTTTGACAAATTTGTCGCGGCCATGTTTCATTTTCCATTCGCTTTGTTTTTCCCCGGGTTTTCCGACCTTAAAGTCGATGTCACGGGCAGAGATTCCGAGTTAGGAGCAGGCGACAAGCCACGTCATAATACTGTCAGGACATGATGGCCTGGCCGCATCCAACCACCTAGGTTGTATGTGGTGCGGCTTCACCACATAAAACAACATGAGGGTGGTCCAACATAAGCCACACATACGCCCACTCGCGCACCGGCACAGCTACCCACCCACTCGCAAGGACATTAAGGATTATTTATTGGGAGTTATTTTTCAGGCGGCATTAAAATTTTTCGGTACAATATGAATTATATTACGCTCGTGTCATAAACTCTCTGTCGCATAGCAGGAAAATTGTGGGTGTAGCAGGGAAATCTTTCCTTCTTTTCCGCTTTTTCCAACCCCCAATTGACTGTCATAAGGAATGCAGCAAAGTAAAGGCAGATAATTAACATCAATCTGTGTTTCAAGAATCCAATCGAAATTGATGGACAGAGAGAAGGCAAAACTGGCGAACGGAAAAAATGTGCTGTTTGTCCTGGCTCATTGGGAACGAAGGAATCTGGCAGAAGTCCTTTGTTTTGATTGTTCTATCGAGCTTTCTATTTTCTTTCTTTTCCAAGCCTCTAGGACTCTGAAAACACTGATAAAGGTGTCTTGAAGTAACATTTAATGTTTTTAAACCAACACACTTTGAAGACAAAATCTCAAAGCTTAGTGGCTTTTTATTTGCTTTAAAAATAAATAAAAGTCAAGCCCATGATACTTTTTTGGTTTTTATTTTGTTCTCGTAAAACTTTCAGTAAAAAAATAAGTTAATAATGATGCACTATACGTTCTTAATAAAAAAAATGTCTAAATCAATCAGGATTCTGTATTTACTGAAGCTTCACTTGGTTTCTTAGTATCAGAAAATATTTGCTTATACATAGTTCAAGCTTATTAATTTTGGTATTTAAGTACAAGGCAATAGAAACAAATCATATCATACTTTTAGGCTCCTAGTTAAATAATCTCTTTTTTACTACACTGTAATGTCAGCAATATTCAAAACCTGCTTACTTTTATCTTAGCATTTAAGTGTCCTTTTTATGTTAAATTTGTTGCGTACACAACTGGCAATCCGCATGGCCCATAAAGTAGATTAGTTTGAAGAACTTGGCCCCGACTTTCTGCATCTTTTGATGGCCACGGCGACGGTGGTCAAATCCGGAGCACGCCTATGGTCATTAGGCTGGCACCCCAGAGCAATAAAAAGGCAAAGGCAATTACCAGATATGGCCATGCAAACACACATCCACTCGCCCAGCCATTATTCGCACAATGTAACGCACGTAATTAGTTGCATATAACTTGGGGCCTCGAGCTTCGTAAAACTTTCAACGCGCTTCAAATTAGTTGAATGTTTTTTTATTGGCAGCCTTGTTGTCGTCCTCGCTGCAACAATGTTGTTGCCCCTTTTTGGCCATGCAAAAACTGGTCTCGTCTGGTTTGGATTCAGTCACATGTGGAGGAGCAAATAAGCCGGCGGCAATCCCAAAGCATATATATGCCATACGGATGTGTGTAAGTCTGCCACAATATTTGCTTAAAAATGAGGCAAAGGCAATGGCAAAGGCAGTAGCAGTAACAGTGGCAGTGGCAAAGTGGAATTAAAGCGAAAAGTTTGCGAGATGCTGGCGGGGATAACTAAGCAAACGCTTTGCGGTTTCTGTCCGTTCGTTTTATGGCCGAAGTTTTCTCAGTTTGCCGCCGGCATATTCAAGTTTCGAGTTTTCCGAGGGTGGCTGCATTTGAGTTTCGCCCTGTCTTGTCAACGTTGCGTATGCGTAATCTTCAAATGCCACCGCTGCGTATGCGTAATCTGGAAAACGTCATAAACTGTGGCGACACCAGCAGAGCTATTTCTATTTCTGTTGCCACTCCTGTTTTTTTGTTTTGTTCACAGCAACCTTATCAATCAATTCACCCACACAAAATGTGGGTTGGGCCACCATACATACATATATGTGGTATAGTATTGGGGATACAGAGCAGAGGTCATAAAGAAACTTTGGCGCCGCGACTGCCAGACGCCACCAGGAGTATTAAATTTTCTCCCGGCAGACGAAAAAGTAAAAAAAAAAAAACAGAGCAGAACAGAACAGAAAATAACAACGAAAAAGCGAATAAAATAAAAAAATGTAGGATGCAGGAGTGGGTTGTGGATTGTGGGGAAAAGTAGGAGAATAGGAGAATAACAGCGATGACGACGATACAATGATAATGCCAAGAACAATAAGACGAAGCAGCAGGCAAAAGGAGAAGGCAAGCTAAGAATGCTGAGCATTAACAATTTGGCACAATACTCGTACAATGGCAAACTGTCGCACACGAGCTTTTCCCTTCTGGTTTTCCCCGTTTTCCCAGCTTTCCCAACGCTTTCCCTGTAGCCAAGATGCGTTTTGCGATAAGCACCATGCGATAGCGATTGTGTGGGTGTGTGACAAGTGTTTTCCCTGGCGTACGGATGTGTACTTTTTGGTGGAATTTCGAGTTCCCGGCGTTCAATCATCAACCCCAAAAACCGTGACAAATGGATAATTATAAACGCTGCTCGGTTATTTTATTGAAAATTTGTCAAGTTTTGTTTACCCTCCGATTTGGCAAATTTTATAAATCTTTAAGATAACAAAAGATTATAAATTGGTAAGTGCTTTCTATATACAATACATTTTATACATAATTTGGCCGATCTAATAAAAAAACGCATACTTTTTATCTAATATAATCAATAAAAACGCATCAAGAAAAGTATTCTTCTTTTAAACATCTTTAAAAAATAAAATATCTTGTTTTTGAAAATATAAATAGGATAATATACAAGTAATAATAAAATGTACTTACTTAACATTAATTTTATATTAAATCATCTAATAAGGAAGATGCAACTGAAAATGTATTAACTTTAAATGCAACAAGAAAGGAAAGCTAACTTCGGGCGGAGCCGAAGTTGATATACCCTTGCAGAATATTCTATAAATTATATTCTCCAAAATTATTCATATGATGCATTCTTAATACTTAAAAAAAGTCCCAACTTCCTAACTTTAAAAACAACAAAGTTATGTCATTTCCAATCGTTCAGTTATATGGCAGCTATAAGATATAGTCGGCCGATCCTTATGAAATTTGGTAGGTCGGATTGATTAACCAAATATAAAATCCATAGAAGATCCCAGCCTCCTAACTTTACAAACACCAATGTTATGGCATTTCCGATCAATCAGTTATATGGCAGCTATAAGATATAGTCGGCCGATCCTTATGAAATTTGGTAGGTCGGATTGATTAACCAAATATAAAATCCATAGAAGATCCCAGCCTCCTAACTTTACAAACACCAATGTTATGGCATTTCCGATCAATCAGTTATATGGCAGCTATAGGATATAGTCGTCCGATCCTTATGAAATTTGGCAGGTCGGATTTTTTAGCCAAAAATAAAACCCATAGAAAATCCCAACTTCCTAACTTTAAAAACACCAAAGATATGGCATTTCCGATCGTTCAGTTATATGGCAGCTATATGATATAGTGGCCCGATCCGGCTCGTTCCGACTTATATACTACCTGCAATAGAAAGACAACTTTTGGGAAAGTTTCAAGCAGATAGCTTTAAAACTGAGGGACTAGTTTGCGTAGAAACGGACGGACAGACGGACAGACGGACAGACGGACAGACGGACAGACGGACGGACAGACGGACGGACAGACGGACAGACGGACATGGCTAGATCGACTCTCCTGGTGATGCTGATCAAGAATATATATACTTTATAGGGTCGGAAATGTCTCCTTCACTGCGTTGCAAACTTTTGACTGAAATTATAATACCCTCTGCAAGGGTATAAAAATTAATTAAAACTACCCTTTTAAGTACCATAAATAAACCCAAAAATTATTTAAATACAATAAACGTAATAAAATAAAATATTAGGTAAAATGCATAATAATTATTGAAACTTCATAAGCAATAGCAAACTTTAAGACGCTTTGATGGCCTTTAACGTCACAATAGACAAGGACAATAATGATGGCAAAAGTTCCCATATTCTGAAACTATGTAATTGAATCGCCTGACATTGTTTGTTCCCTTGTAGTCAAATATCTTTGTCCCATCTGAATCTGCTCTCATTCTGCTTATCGTAGCTTGTATATAAATACGAACAACCAGCTTTCCCCCGCTTTTCCAGCCCTCTGCTCTGGGAAAACGTTGTTAACGTCTCTTGAATTCGGTGTAAGCAAGTTTTCCCCATAAGGAAAACAAGAAGGAAAAGCATAATTTGGAGAGTGCTTCAAGGGAAAGTTTCTTGTGTCGTTGGCAAGTTTTTGAAGACCTCCTCCAGAAGCCACACACAAACACACACACACACACACGCACACTCGCATTGAAAATGGCGAGAGATGGAGGAGAATAAACATAATTTTATTTTCGGTTTTTATTTAATGCTCCTTCGCATTACAGCAATTTCTGCAACATTTTTGTTTATGCGATGGCAAATCGAGTTCGTCCTTGCTCTGCTAGTGGTATATGGGTATATATATACGCAGGATACAATACCCAGTACCCAGTTCCCAGTATTATTGTCTAATGCACGTTGGACTGGCCAAGCGTGAATTTGCATTGCTGGCATTGTCATAACTGAGCTGGTGCACATAAATCGCTTTGGTCCATATTTGTGTGACATTTTTCGGTTTGGTTTTCCCCCCAAACAACCGAGAGGATGTGGCATGTGGCAGCTGGCAGGAAGCAGTAGGTAAAAACTTTTAATATTTCTCCGCCGCCAGCTGTTGTCATTCCGCCCGAGGACCTCCCCCTGCCCTCCTCCCCCCTCAACCACATGCCACATGCAGTGCCAGTTGCATCCGGATCCTCGATTCCGGACCCCCATCCGCCCGCAGATGCAGCAACACAAACAAACATGTGGAACTCGCTGCAGTAGGCCAGAAGCATTGCTTGGGCTTATTTATTTGCCCACGCTGTGAAATTTAATTAGACGCCCAGTCCACGACAATTGTAAATATCCAGAGTGCCAGGAAGGCGGAAGGAAACGGCTTGGAATGCGGGAGCTCGGCTTGGATGAGCGGAATGCGAGTGGCGGGAGCAGGAACTGCTGACTCCGCTCCATCCGCCGTCGAGTTGAAACAATGCCAACTGGCCAAAAGCACAAGTCGTCTTTGACTTACTTTTGCATTACGTTCGCCCTTTTGGCCACAGGCACTCGTACATGGAGAAAAATATGGGGTGTTTGTATCAAAACAACTCCATACTTTCACCCATACACCCATTTTTGGAATTATTTCGAGCTTGAAGCTAGTAATTGGAAATCATTTAATTAGCATCAACTTAACTCGGTAAATCTAATCAAATGCTAAAAGCTGCAATTAACTATTGCTTGGTAATTCAAACAATTTGTGTACTAATGGACCAATTATAAATTCATTTAAAACCATATGATTTGCTAATTGAAAAAGTTCAAAGTTAAGAACATTTATTAGGGAGTGAACCATTATTTTCTACCAGTATTTTGATGCTTTTTAATTTCGGGAAAGCGTTAAATTGTTTTGTGGCTCATAAAGCAGAACGCGTATTTAAGCTATGAATTATACTATTAGGATAAGATACATAATCATTAAAAGATGATATAGAAAGTAGGGTAGATAGTTTTATTAAATATGAGAAAAGTATGTGAATATGTGGGAGATAGAAAATACAAAGTTTTTAAAGATATTTATCTTTGATTGATAAATAATGTAAGTTAATTTGATTGTATTAAAATTAGTAAAACAGTTACAAGTCATAGTAAAAGCTGTGATTGGTATTTTATTTCCCGTGTATAGACTATTATACTTTCTCCATTTTACCCCGATACCCAACTTTAATGAGCTGTGCCGGCAGGTGAAAGGAATGCCGAAAGCGGATGCAGGATTGGAAGGGTGATGGGTGGTGGGTGGTGTTAGGTGGATGACAGGTGATGCGGCATGGTGGCATAGGCTTAACTTACTTTTTAGGAAATCCGCCAGTGTCGTGAAGTCGTTTATTTCAACTGCGTTTCAGACGTAAATGAAGTTGGCTTTTTGGACCGCCCGCTGGCGGTGTCTGTTACTCGCTCTTCAACTTGGCTTAATTCTCTTTTTTGGCCTCGGGCTCTGCTTTCACATCTCGTTCTCACCTGCCTGTATTTTCTGCCGTTGTCCTGCTGCAGAAAGATACGCATTAAAATTAAAAAAAAAAAAAGGAAAGCAAAGGAATCTGGCCGAGGCGAGTTTTTCCGCGGAATTCCTTTGTTGTTCTGTGTGGGAAGGGGTAATGGTCTGAAGATGGGGCCATCGAGATAAGCCAATGCAGGTCTCCCCCGGGGGCACAGTCAAATCTCAATTTCTGGGGCTAATTCGGGGGAGTTCTCCCAGTCGAATGATTCCGCGAGTGATAATAAGTACGTATAATGGCTCCAGCAGGGTGCTTGTAATTTCTGGAGGCGAGCTTAGCTGCAGCCGGGGCCTTAATGCAAATACAGATAATGTGGCTAACTGACATGGCCATATTAAATCTAATATCCGCTTGGCCCTGCTTAGATGGTAACTAAGAAACGGGGGCCCCGAGAGCTTGGGGAGCACTTAATAGTTGCCTGGCGTATCCATTAAGTAAACATGACTCGCAAAGCCCGCTGGGCTGATATGGATGTGGATGTTTGAGGCTATGGCTATGGCTGGGTGGCGATGTGGCCCAGGAAGAGCTTTGCCTTCGACCACACTGTCAATGTACATTAGGATTGTTTTGCTTCTCAGCTTGAGATACCCCGAAAGAAGACAAAAAAAAAAAACAAAATAAAGCGAGGAGAAAAATGGGAGCAAAGGGCGAAAACAAGAGCAACGACTTTTGTGTTGTTGCGTATAAACGCTGAATATTTAATAAATGCAAAAGGGGGATGTGTGCGTGTCGGCACTGTACGCCCAGATACGAAAAACAAAATCAACTTAAGCATCGGCACACCGGAGAATTGCCATTGCTCATTCGCTGATGATAACGCCAGACCTTGGGGCCCGAAAATGCTTTTGATATTTTATTCATGCCGCCAACGCTCCCAGCGCTGTCAATTGGTATTAGGACATTATAATTTATTGATGAGCGAGAGGACAACATCGGCCGGCGGCCCTTGAAAGCGGTTTATAATTCGCACATCTAAAGCCAGAACGTCAAGCGCACAATTAACGGCCCTCTCGAGTTAACCAGTGCTCCTCGTCATACACGCTTCACACGCACACACACACCCACACAGCCGACGAATGCTAGAACCGCACACACGACGTATACGCAATATTCGCATCAATCATCCGGCAGCGCGTCCACTCGCCTCGACGCACCAATTCCAACTGGCACACAGCGCGACTTTGGATGCTGATGGCTCCGATTCGGGCTCGGATTCGGACTCGCATTCGGAGTGGCATGCAACTCGTGGCACTGGGCCACTGGCACACGTCCGCAGGACGCAGGCGCCCGGAGAGAGCCGCATCCTTTGGCCCACAGACGGTGTGAAAGTGGCCCACAATTAATATGCACAGGCGTCGCCGATGACGGGCCAGTCATTGATAGATTGTCGTAATGAAATGCAAATTACTTGTCAATAATTGCTCCCACATCTGTCCCGGCGGCAATAGAAAGGCAAATCCTATGCGATTAATTAGGCGACAAAGGATTGGGTTATGCCTATAACTGAAAAGATTGATAAGTTATCAGGATATTGGTGAGCTTCCATTTTTCTTATTACTTTTTGGAATGCATTTAAATTCTTATTAACTAAAAAACATGTTAAGCTATAATTATAACTAGTATTATTTATTTAGTGCATTTTTCGCATTGCTATTTATTTTACTGTCAACCATACAAAATCTCACAAATCACTGTTATGACATTTTGAAAAACAAACGCATTTTTCGGAGTGTTTTTAGTTGTTATTTTGCCAAAAGGCGACACACAACCGAAGTAATCTCAAGTTTTGCACACATAAACTAAAGAGCCTCGTCATTTTCCGGCTGATTTCAAAAAATAAAATTATTGCCCAACAATTTTATTTTTCATAAGGTATGATATTTTATTGTTAGTTTATAATTGATTGGTCTTTTTGTTACGAGTTTAACAAAAAATGACATTCCATTTGTGATCCATTACTTACTTTATTAATACCAAAATAAGTATTTTTGGAGAATGATTTTTAAGTGAAAAATGAATGTTCCATTTTTACTATTACTATTTAGTCAAATAAGTTATAAAGAAAAATATTAATGCGTTTTAAATTAGGCACCATTTTTATATAATACAAATAAATGTGAAGTTCAATCAAGAAAATATTTATTTTAATCTGAGAGCCAGTGCCATTCCCCATCTGAGCATTCCACAAATTTTCGGATCTCCTTTTAATTAATTCATGAGAAGTAAAGAATGCCTTTTCCCTCGGTCATTTGACGTACAATAATTGCCAGTCAGATATCGAAATTAATAATTTGCACCATACTGGTCCTGACGGAGCAAACGCGATACAAAAAATATTTATTTATGCGAATTCCATTCAGAGGGCTCGTAAATCTCTCGCCACCCTCGCGACTAAAGCTGTTGGTCCGAATATTTATGACGGCGACTATTACATACTTTATTATTATTATTATTATTAACGCCGCGCACAATGGAGTGAAGCCAGTTGGCCAGAGATGTACATTCCGTTCTTCCCTCAAGTGAAGCATTTAGTAAAGTGGCATATTGACAGATTTTAATTCAATTGGGCTCAAATAGGAGAAGATAAATAATTTATAATTTGGAAGGTATTCTTACTTTTCTTTTCGTGCTGGATCTTTAAAGTTAATAAGTATGTGATTAATACCAAAAACTTTTCTTACAATTTTTAGGTCCTGCCTTTTTAAAAAATTGACATTTTTTATAAGATGGTTAATGCATGAAATTACATGCAATGAATTAAGTGCTTTAAAGAGAATTAAAATCCCATAGAAGTATTAAAAACATAACTATTTTAGATATATATTTGATTTTTCTCGATTTTCTACACATTCCCCGGCCAATCGAGCCATGCAAATTGTGATTTTCCGTGATTGGATTGGGGGGTTTTCAAGTGACTGCAGTCGTAGTACATATAGTCAACAATGTTCCTGTTTCGAGAGCGGTTTATCTGCGTCGTGATCCTATTCCTGTCCCCATTCTCCGTCAGAGCCTGGGATTATTGTCAGGAGCACTGGTGTCCCCGTTCCGACGACCATGTGGCATGCAACAACAATGGCGTAAGTTTTCTTATATTTACAGAGCCAGATAATTATATGTGATATACAATTCATGGTATCAGAGAGAGATTTAACCCTTCTGCCAATAAAGTAGATAAGTTTTTTATTTTATCAGCAACAAATTGGAGTTTATATTTTCGTCTGTTCATCTTTAAAGATAACAGCCACTTAAGCTTTTTTCCTTTCTTATTTGTATAGGGTCTGAACAATTTGTATTAAAACAAGTTGCAAGATTTAATTAAATATTTCATCAATCTAGTATACATTGCTACACAAATATATTTTAATGCAATACAAAACTAGTACACAGCATGAGTCCAAGTCTGTCTTTTATTTATATTTCATTATCTGCTTGACAAACGAAATTTAACTCGAACAAACATCGATTCAAAATCGTAAGTCTTTTACTTATTATACCGCAGCCGTTAGCCATATTAATATCAAACCTCACAATTGTGGTTTGCTTTCCAGAGGCCTCGGATACGTATTCACCCTTTCTATTACGATCGTTGATGCCAATCCAGTACCATTTCAAATTGAATCTAAGTTTTGCTTGGACGGCAGTAAGTTCCTCTTCGGTTTTAAAGGCCGCTAGATAGCCACCCATTTCACGACAGGTAGTTACAGCCTCAGTCCAATTTTTCTTAACCTCGTTTTCAATATAAAAGTATCTGCCACTGCCACCGATTTGCTCAAACTTTGGTGGGATGACTTTTACATTGATTTTGGAAAAGTTTTCGCGAAAGGTAGCCTGCAAGGCATCTAGTTTGTCTTGAATGTTGGTCTGAAGATCTACCAGACTCTTTTGCATCTCTAGAAGTTCGGCGTTCAGCTTGCTTTCAATTCTATCCAGTTTTGCATTTACTTTACGATTATGATCGAAAAGCGGGTGGAGTGCAGCCATGCAGAACTGGCCGCACTGATTGGGAGCGTCCTGCAACAGGCAAACGGAGCACCCATTTTCCTGAAATTCTGCCAAGGATCCGTGCAGCTGCAGGATAACGACGACGAACACAAAGTATAATGCCAGCCTAAGCATCTTGACTTGTTAAAACCTTCTTAAGGGAACTTTCGAAACGTACTGAAGATTGTCTGTCTGTTGAAAACACAAAGAAACCTACAATATTGCTGATAAGAGATCGTATTTTTAAGTGTGTCAGAATGCATGGGGAGAAGAAGATTGTCTGTTTATTGAAAACACAAAGAAACTTGCAATATTGCTGATAAGATTTCTTATATTTAAGTGTGGCAGAATGAATGAAGATTAAAATCAATTCATCTTGAAGATCCAGAGATCAATTAAAAATGTACTTGGTACGGGAAGAGAGTAGGAAGTTATATTACTCAATTCCAAGAAAAGATATTGTTGTCCATATAGCAGACTTTGATTTGAGAATGTTTGGATGTTTCTTGACAAGAGTTGGTTTTTTGTGGTATATATAAATCGAGATAAATCTTTAATATCTAAAAATTTTTCTATTTTATGACTTCTGTTTTGTATGTTATCAGAGTTTTGGAACCGAGTGCGGTAACGAGGCCAGGTTAATACCACTGAGCAGTGGGATGCGCCAGTTTATCGTCAATCAGGTGAACTTCTATCGCAATCAGGTGGCATCTGGTGATTTCTCCGGCTTCCAAGCCGCCCACCGGATGGCCAGTGTTCGCTGGGATCCAGAGCTGGCTAAGTTGGCGGAACTGGCGGCCAAAAGGTGTAGCCTCTCGGGTGACGGGTGTCGCAACACCAGGCGCTTCAAGCACGTGGGTCAACTGACTGGACACGTGATCTTCAGCGTCGGACGGCACAGCGATCTCGAGTTGCTGGGCTACAAGATCTCCAACTGGTTTGGCCAGTACAAAAGGGCCACCAAGGAGCTGGGAGAAGCCGATCCGGCAAGTGACATCACCAGTTTCCGCCAGTTGATGCAGGAGCGGGCCACCCACATGGGATGCGCAGTGCTCCGGCAGCGAAGTGACGAGCGCTGGCACCAGCAGTTCATCGTCTGCAACTTTGCACGCGAGAATGTTGCTGGGGAACCGGCCTACGAGGTGGGTCTTCTATCCGGCAGCGGTTGCCTGGCGGGACGCAATCCTCGCTATCCGAATCTCTGCTCCCTGGAGGAGCACTACGATGTGAACGCCGTCGACCGCTTCCACATCAAGCCACCGCTGAGGATCAAGTTGAAGTACAGTGGACCCCAGGGCTCAAAGGCTGTTCCTGGGTTGGCCTACCATCTCAACATTAAGTTGCCTTTTTTTTAACACCTTTATTCCAATGGTATTTTTACTAAGATATATTCAAAATCTAATCTATATTTACTAAATATATAAAAATTAAATAAACTCGCTCACCAATATTTCCAACAAAGCTTTGTTTTGAATTATAACAATTGGAGACCAAGAAATACCAATCTAACGATCCCGAGATAGCCCATACTCTTGACCAACTAACCTTTGAGTAACTAAAAGAATAATCTAGAAACCAACCTTCGTAAAATGTATAGTGCAGCACTTGGAAAATAATTAATTATTTATAGATAATGTATATATATATATATATTATTGATCACCTCCGACTGGAGATGACAACCTCAAAAAGTTTTTAATTCAATTCCGTATTTAACTTAATTTAAATTTTGGTTATTCTTGTTTTTCTTGTTGGATTTTGTTCGCTTTTTCCAAAAATCGCAACTGGATTTATGTTAGTAGTGCAGTTACTCCTAACATTTGCAGCCCATTTCCCTTTTAATATAAGTTTAATTTTTAATTCTAGTTTAAGGTCTGCTTTGACAAAAGTATCTCAAAACATGCATAGCTGGGCCAATAAGTTTGAATTCCCGAGTTGTATACCTCTAACAGTTTGTATTTTTGTTCTCTACTGTTCAGCATTAACATTGTCTTTAATTGTGTTAAATAAAAGGCCTTAGGTGGTAGATAGCTATGAAATTTCTAGTGGGGATTCTCCTGGCGATTGGGTTCGATGGTGACGCGGGCATAGGGACTCCCAGCGCCTACCTTGCGGCGCATGGTGACTCCGCGGTGCGGTCTTAGCCCCATCACGATCAGGTAGATGCCCACGGCACTGAGTGCGATCAGGGTGAGCACCACCAGGCCGTAGGCCCACCGCGGCCAGGTGTCGCAGCTGAAGGCGTCCCCTCGAGCGGATGTGACCAGCATGCCGCGGATGCGGGCCGGCTTGTAGCAGCGTCCTTTGGTCTGGACCGGCAGTTGCTTCAGCCAGACCAACTCGCAGTCGCACTGCAGCGGCAGACCGTTGAGATCCAGCTCGGCAAGCTGAGTAAAAAGCGGCGCCAGCGTGGAATTAAAGGTGCGCAGCATAGTGCCACGAAAGCTCAACGACCGCAGCGCCCTCTTCTTGGAGGTTCTAGTGGTGGGTCCAAAGGCCTCCGCATCCAGGTGGCTCAATTGCCGGCTGTTTTGGAAGCTCAACGTCTCGAGGAGATCGAAGTCCAGGGCATGGGCCACCACGGACTGCAGCAGCGGCATATCCTCGATGAAAAGCTGACGCACCTGGGTCAGATTAACCGTGTCCTCGGGCAAGAGCTCCTCCAGCAGATTGTCACTGATGTCCAGGCGAAGGAGAGTCTCCGGCAGTTGGTTTGGAATCCGCTTCAGCTGATTCCTCCGCAGGGAAAGCTCCTTCAGAGGAGCATTTACGGGCAGGTGGAGCTCACTCAGGCTGCAGGCATCCAGTCGCAACGTTGCCAGTTTCCAGTTGAGGCCGAGTCCGGAGTAGAGATCCACGCCAGAGGCGTTGAAACGGCGGTTCCAGGAAAGATCCAGTGTGCTTAGAACCAAGAGGGGGGCCAGGAGTTGACTGGGCAGTGTGTGCAGGTTGTTGTGGGCCAAGTCGAGAACCTGCAGATGGGGTAAACCCTCGAAGGAGGAGACCTCCACCTGGACAATGCTGTTCCAACCCAGATACAGTTCCTTCAGAGTGATCAGTTCCTTGAAGTTGCCAGCCGTCAACTGCGAAATGTTGTTGTGCCTCAGGTTCAGCTGACGTAGTGTGATGCTGTTGAAGATTGGAACCGCGTCCAGATTGTTCCAGGACAGGTCCAACATATCGGTATACAGGGGCAGCACCGGAGACAGATCCTTGACCCGGTAGTCCTTGTAGCTGCAATCGATGCGCAGGGCACTCGCTCCCCACGGAGAAGCACTCACATTGGTGCACTCGCAGGAGCGACGCGAGTTCTTCATGGACTCCGGATAGCAAAAGCTGTCCGTCTGCTCCGCATCGATAATCTCCGCCCGGACAATGTGGGTACCCAGCAGGAGCAGCAGGGCAAAGGTCAATCCCACGTCTCTCGTAACTTCTAAACTCGCCATCGTTAAGGTTCTCAGTGCACTGAATAAAAAGATGAGTGGTTCAGTTCGTGGTTGCCACTTCCATATCTTATCAAACGGCGGAAAAGCTCCCAGACATTGTGAGTCGATTTTTCCAATAAATTTATCAGCAAAAATACTTTGGTCTTGCACTGTTCTGGTTAGTCATTGAAATCCATTTGGGCAGCCAAGTGGTAAACAGAAACTGCGGAGACCCAAAAGCCCCTTGCGTTTAAATTGTTGATAAGATAGCAGGGCAGAGCTTTACCTTTTATCTGTATCTCTCTCTCTCTCTCTCTCTCTCTCTCTCTGTCCCTCAACAAATAGATCCCCACCCACGCCTTATCACCTTTGCAGCTTTCTGTTATCTTCTGATATCTATTTCATTAATCATTTCCCATACTTCGGACGGCGGGTTATGTTGCTGGCATCTAGATTCGGCATATTGATGGATTAACAAGGACCAATTTCACACTCCGAGAAAAGGAGACATTCGTTTCCTCCCAAAAGTCATGTCTAATCCCATCTGGATGGGGGACTTATCTAGCTCATTATACCCGTTACTCGTAGAGTAAAAGGGTATATTGTATTCGTGCAAAAGTATGTAACAGCTAGAAGGAAGCGTTTCCGACCCTATAAAGTATATATATTCTTGATCAGGGTCACTAGCCGAGTCGATCTAGCCATGTCCGTCTGTCCGTCTGTCCGTCTGTCTGTCCGTCTGTCTGTCTGTCTGTCTGTCTGTCCGTCTGTCTGTCCGTCTGTCTGTCCGTATGAACGCTGAGATCTCGGAAACTATAAAAGCTAGAAGATTGGCATTTTGCATGCAGATTCTAGGAGTTCCTACGCAGCGCAAGTTTGTTTCAAAAAGGTGCCACGCCCCCTTTAACGCCCACAATCGCTTATATACAATTTTAAAAATTTAAATATTTCGGAAAAGTAAAAATGCAGTTTTATTGTGTTTATCAATACCTATCGAAATGTAGAAGAAATTTTTCAAATCGGACCATTCGTTAAAAAGTTATGCGTGATCAAAGTTTCTATCTCCATCTCCCTCGCACTCCCTTTACCTGAGTAACGGGTATCTGATAGTCGGGGCACTCGACTATAGCGTTCTCTCTTGTTGCATCTTAAAGTCAGGACTTGGGCTCAAATTGTAATTACGCTGAAGAAAATGTACTTCCGGTTTAAGGTTTACATCTGCGGCTTAAATGTCGCTCGATTACCGACATGCAAAGGTAAATAATGTAGCCAAGCTCCTTGAATAGGCAATTAAATTTTAAATGTCTTACAGAAATTTTGGTTTTGAGAAAGCAAAGAAATTAGTAAATACTAACGACAGTTCAGGATCAGGAAATTAAGTTGTAAGTTCAGTCAGCGCAATAATCCGTAACATAGCTTAAGCGATGTGCTTCTTTAGGAAACCTTGTATTATATATAGTTGCAATGCAGTGAAACAGACGTCTGTAGCCTTATAAATTATATATATTCTTGATCAGCATCACCGATCTAGCTACTTCCGTCTGTATTTCTGACCGCAATTCAATGCAAACTAATTTAAGAGCCATTATTGAACCATATTTAACTTCGTCGATTTTTTACATATACATTTATATGTTCAAGAATTATCGGACGACTATATCATCTAGCTGCCATAGAAACGATCGAAAAATATATCTTAGATCAATTCAGCTTAAAAGTTTTTATGCAAATACCGATAAAAATCGATTTATAGAATATTTAATTTTGAAGGAATAAAGTAATATTGATCTACTAAGATATTTAAAATTAGTTTATGTCTTAATGAACCTTGAAAATAGTATTCCATTTTTTTCGTTCATCAGCTTAATGGCAGTGGCGGAACTAAGCCACGTCTTTAAGGATTCGCGCCCTTAAGGTCTTGGTAAATGTCATGTATCCTGTATTCCATGGCCCGTGTCCTTTGTGTCTTCAAGCTGCAGCTTAACTTGTTCGCACAAGATGACCAGAAATTAAAATAACAACAGAAAATTGCAACGGAAATCTGGATCGAAATCCTTAAAAAAATATATATATCCAAATCGATTATCTTATTAAATGCAGCTTTATTGGAAGGCATTACATGAGAAAATTATAAAAAATAATTTTATAAGAAATGCAACGAGCTATAAACAAATAGAACAAGGCATAAAGAATACGTTCTCTCATGTGAAATATAAACGATAGTGACCGAAGCTGGATTTCGCTATTCTACTTTGCAGCATTAAAATTGGTTTAAATGTTGTTGAATAAGAGATTCTATCTGGTAGGTTGTAAGAAAGTTTCTAGTGAGGGTTTGGGACTTCCGACGTCCACCTTTCGGCCCATGACTTTCGACCCGTGACTCCACAACGCTGAGGAGGATCAGAGTCGACCACCAGGTCGATCTCGGCTAGGAGTCGCAGCTGAAATCGTCTTCTACCGCAGATGTGACCAGCATGCCGCGGATGCGCTCCGGCTGGTAGCAGCGTCCTTTGGTCTGGACCGGCAGTTGCTTCAGCCAGACCAACTCGCAGTCGCACTGCAGCGGCAGACCGTTGAGGTCCAGCTCGGCAAGATGAGTAAAAAGCGGCGCCAGCGTGGAATTAAAGGTGCGCAGCATAGTGCCGCGAAAGCTCAACGACCGCAGCGTACAGTTCTTGGAGGTAGGTCCAAAGGCCTCCGCATCCAGATGGCTCAGTTGCCGGCTGTTTTGGAAGCTCAACGTCTGGAGGAGATCGAAGTCCAGGGCATGGGCCACCACGGACTGCAGCAGCGGCATATCCTCGATGAAAAGCTGGCGCACCTGGGTCAGATTAACCGTGTCCTCGGGCAAGAGCTCCTCCAGAAGATTGTCACTGATGTCCAGGCGAAGGAGAGTCTCCGGCAGTTGGTTTGGAATCCGCTTCAGCTGATTCCTCCGCAGAGAGAGCTCCTTCAGAGGAGCATTTACGGGCAGGTGGAGCTCACTCAGGCTGCAGGCATCCAGTCGCAACGTTGCCAGTTTCCAGTTGAGGCCGAGTCCGGAGTAGAGATCCACGCCAGAGGCGTTGAAACGGCGGTTCCAGGAAAGATCCAGTGTGCTTAGAACCAAGAGGGGGGCCAGGAGTTGACTGGGCAGTGTGTGCAGGTTGTTGTGGGCCAGGTCCAGAACCTGCAGATGGGGTAAACCCTTGAAGGAGGCGACCTCCACCTGGGCAATGCTGTTCCAGCCCAAATGAAGTTCCTGCAGACTGGGCAGTCGCTCAAATGTACGAGCCGTCAACTGTGAAATTTTATTGTGCATCAGGTTCAACTGACGCAGATCTTCGCTGGTGAAGATTGGCACCGCGTCCAGGACATTCCAGGAGAGGTCCAATGTGCCGGTGTGAAGGGGCAGCAGCAGGGAGAGATCCCTGACCCGGAAGTCCTTGGAACTGCAATCGATGCGCACGACAGGCATTCCCAAAAGACCACTCTCTCTGCTGCACTCGCAGGAGCACATGGACTCCGGATAGCAAAGCAGCTCCGCCCGGACCAAGTGGTTAACCAGCAGGAGCAGCAGGGAAAAGGAGAATCCCACGCCTCTCGTAACTTCTAAACTCGCCATCGTAAAGGTGCTCCGTGTACTGAGTAAAAACATAATGGGTTCAGTTTCTCGTTGCCACTTTCATATCTTATCAAACGGCGGAAAATCTCCAGCTCACGCGCAGTCAGTTTTTTCGCTCTTTTTTCTTGACACTGTTTTTAGAACTGAATTTATTTTTTTTATAATCTAGCAGAGTTTATTATTTCTTATTAACTTCTAAAACAATGGCTTGAAAATTTATTGTGGGTCAATAGATAGATATTTAAACGAAGAAATATCCAACGGCCAAAAACTGGTTATAGCTGCACATATGTACTTTATTTCTTGTTATTTGATACCATGTTTATGCTAAGGATTTAACTAGTTCTTTAAAAAGTAAAATCAAAATAATATTTGGACCAACTTTTATCCCAATTCTATAAAATGATTGCATTAAATGGCTATCGCATAAACACAGTATGAGTCCCTCTCTCAATAAATAGATTCCCACCCACGCCCTATCACCTCTGCAGCTTTCTGTTATCTTCTGATATCTATTTCATTAATCATTTCCCATACTTTGGGTTATGTTGCTGGCATCTGGATTCACCATCTTGATAAATTTACAAGGCCCCAATTTCACACTCCGAGAAAGCGAGACATTCGTTTCCCCTTAAAAGTCATGTCTAATCCCATCTGGATGGGGGACTTATCTAGCTCATTGCATCTTAAAGTCAGGACTTGGGCTCAAATTGTAATTACGCTTAATGCTTTTCGCTGGGGATTTATGCCGATTGCTGGATATGTCGAGAGGATGTACTTCTGGTCTAAAGTTTACATTTGCTGTTCGAATGTCGCTTAATTACTGAGCAGTTAAAGGTATGTAAGGTAGGAAGACTTTATAAAAAGGTATGTTGAATGTGCAATTCATTTTTAAGGCCAAACAGATATTTTAATGTTGCGAATGCAAAGTAGGGCTTAAAAGAATCACAAAGAGAATCTGTAAGGCTAGGTAAAAAATGAAATTCGGTATTGAATTAAATTAAATGTACGATTTAAATGTAAGTATATAAAACTCAAAAAACTCTTCTGTTGGAGAGCATTTATGAATGAAAAAGCGAATTAAGTATCTGCAAGTCGAGCTATATTTTTTTCCAGCTTCCTAACGAACTTTATGGTGCCCCCTTTGCATTTGCAATTGCTTTGACTACTCGTACTCGTACTCGAACAGTTCCCAGTGCCTTCGGGGTGATAGAACTCTTCTTTGTGTCAATGGGAAATTGATGAGGCTTACATAAGTGCACAGCCGCACAGCCAGAGTCGCCCATTTTGGCATAGGCATTTGCATAAATTAGGGACTTTGAAAAACTCCCCACGCTTTTCCTTCTTGACTTTTCCACAAATGTGGGGGGCTGGGGGAAAAGCCAACACATGTAAAGCATTTAATGAGCTGTGTGTGCTTAAATTTATTGAAAATGCCAGGCACATGCTGGTGTTTGCTGTTCGTATTCGCCCCTCAAGTCATTATTACAAGCAAAAATGTATTTTTAACTAAAAACTCATTAATTACAGGGAAAATTGTACCCGGTGTGTGGGAGTGTGTGTATGTGTGTGTGTGTGATAATTACGGCA